AGCAAATCAGTGCAAATCTTGGAAATAGAGGAAAGCAGGTGACTTTTGTATAATAATAATAATAATCCTTGCATTTGTTATAGCGCCTTATTACATTGTCGAGATATCTCAAAGCACTGTACTGTAAGGTGAATTGACTATATTTTGTGGGCGAAATGTGGCAGCCAATTGCACACAGCAGTGTCCCACAAACTGTTGTGGATTGAGTGACCACATTTTGCTTTTTTTGGAAGGACTATTACCCCCAAAAAAGATCCGCCATTCGACTTAACAACTGGATTCCTACTTACTGCTGGGTAAACAGAGTGGAGAAGGAAATGTGCGTAAGGTTTTGCCCGTTTTCTAGATCTGGTAATCATCAGGATATTAGAAAGATCAGATTCTATCTATCATAGCCAAAAGTTGAAGATTTTCGAATAGTAACAACGACAACATGTATTTATATGGGCCTTTTATGTAAAATTTTGCAGAGCTTTACAGAGATGTTGCAGGCAAGGAGGGGCAGAGAGGAGGGGAAAAGGGGAGGGGGACAGGGCAGGGGGAGAGGTGAAGGAGGAAAGTGGAGGGGAAGAGAGGAGGGCGAGAGGGGAAGGGGGAGAGGGGAGTGGGAAAGGGGAGGGGTAGAGGGGAAAGGGGAGGGAAAGGGGAAGGGGCGAAGGGGAGGGGTAGAGGGGAAAGGGGAGATGGGAGGGGAGAGAGAGGAGGGGGAGTGGGGAAGGGGGAGAGGGGAAGGGGGAGAGGGGAGGGGTGAAGGGGGAGAGGGGAAGGGGGAGAGGGAAGGGGGAGAGGGAGGAGTTGAGGGGAAGGGGAGAGGGGAGGAGAGAGAGGAGGGAAGAGGGGAGGGGAGACAGGGGAGGGGTAGGGGGAAGGGGGTAGAGAGGAGGGGGAGAGGGGAAGTGGGCAGAGAGGAGGGGAGAGGGGAAGGGGGAGAGGGGAGTGAGGAGGGGTGAAGAGAGGAGGGGATGTGGGGGAGGGGGAAGAAGGGAAGCGGAAAATGGGAAGGGAAGAGGGAGGGGGAGGAGAGAGGAGGGAGAGGGATAGTGGGAGAGGGAGGGGGAGAGGGGAGTGGAAAAGGTAGGGGAGCAGGTGGAGGGGGCAGAGAGGAGGTGGGAAGAGAGGAGGGGGGCAGAGAGGAAGGCGGAAGAAGGGAAGGGGGAGAGGGAAAGGGAGAGGGGAGGGGGGGGAAATGAGTGTGGGGGAAGAGAGGAGAGGGCAAAGAGGACGGGGAGAGGGGAAGTTGGAAAAGGGAGGGGAAGAGAGGGCACAAGGAGAAGAGTGGAGGGGACAGAGAGGGGGGCGTCGAGGAAAAGGGAAGAAGGATAGTGAAGAAGGGAAGGGGAAGAAGGGAAGGGGAAGAGGGGAGAGGTAGAGGGAGGGGGAGAGGGAAGGGGGAGAGAGCAAGGGAGAGGAGCAGGGGGAGAGGAGCAGTGGGAGAGGGGAAGGGGGAGAGGAGCAGTGGAGAGGGAAGTGGGAGAGGGAAGGGGGAGAGGGGAAGGGGAGAGGGAAGGGGGAGAGGAGCAGTGGAGAGGGGAAGTTGGGAGAGGGGAAGGGGAGAGGGGAAGGGGGAGAGGGAAGGGGGAGAGGAGCAGTGGGAGAGGGAAAGGGGAGAGGAGCAGTGGGAGAGGAGCAGTGGGAGATGAGCAGTGGGAGAGGGGAAGGGGGAGAGGGAAGGGGGAGAGGAGCAGTGGGAGACGGGAAGGGGGAGAGAAGCAGGGGGGGAGGGGAAGGGGAGAGGAGCAGTGGGAGACGGGAAGGGGAGAGGAAGCAGGGGGGGAGGGGAAGGGGAGAGGAGCAGGGGGAGAGGGGAAGGGGGAGAGGAGCAGGGGGAGAGGGGAAGGGGGAGAGGGGAAGGGGGAGAGGTGCAGGGGTAGAGGGGAGAAAGGAGTGGGGAGGGAAGGGGAGATGTGGGGGAGAGGGGAAGGGAGAGAGAGGAGGGGAAGGTGTAAAGGGGAGGGGAAGAGAGGAGGGGAAAGGAGGCAGAGAAGAGGGTGCAGAGAGGAAGGGTGAAGAAGCGAATGGGAAGAAGGGAAGGGGAGAAAGGAGTGGAAGAGGGAAGGGTGATGAGGGGGAGAGGGGAAGGGGTAGAGTGGAGAGGGAGAAAGGAAGGGGAGAGAAGGCGGAGAGAGGAAGTGGGAGAGGGCGTGTGTTAGAGAGGAGGGGGCGAGAGAGAGGAGGAGGAGGGGGCGAGAGAGAGGAGGAGGAGGGGACGCGAGAGAGGAGGAGGAGGGGGCGAGAGAGAGGAGGTGAGGGCGAGAGAGAGGAGGAGGAGGGGCGAGAGAGAGGAGGAGGAGGGGGCGAGAGAGAGAAAGAGGAGGGGCGAGAGAGAGGAGGAGGGGGCGAGAGAGAGGAGGGGCAAGAGGGGGGGCGAGAGAGTGGAGGGGCGAGAGAGAGGAGGGGGCGAGAGAGAGGAGGGGCGAGAGAGAGGAGGGGGCGAGAGAGAGGAGGGGGCGAGAGAGAGGAGGGGGCGAGAGAGAGGAGGGGGCGAGAGAGAGGAGGGGGTGAGAGAGAAGAGGGGTGAGAGAGAAGAGGGGGTGAGAGAGAGGAGGGTGAGAGAGAGGAGGGGTGAGAGAGAGGAGGGTGAGAGAGAAGAGGGGCAGGAGAGAGGAGGGGCGAGAGAGAGGAGGGGCGAGAGGAGGTGGGGAGAAAGGGGTAGAGAGGAGGGGGAGAGGGGAATGGAGAGAAAGGAGGGAGAGAGTAGGAAGGGGAGGGAGGGTAGGGGGGAGAGAGGTGGGGAGAGGGAGGAGTGACAGAGGAGAAAAGAGAGGGGCAGAAAGGGGGAAACAGAGTGAGGATAGATAGGGGGAGTGATCGGGAGAGGAAGTGGAGAGGGAAGAGGGGGAGAGGGAGGGGGGGGCGGAAGATGGATGGGGGGAGGCAGAAGAGGGACGGGGGGAGAGTGACGAGGGGGGGGGGAGAGAGAGAGGAGGCGGAGAGAAAGGAGGGTGTGATAGTAGGTGGAGTGAGGATGGGGAGAGAAGGGGAGAGAGAGGGGTGAGAAAGGAGGGGAGTGAGGAGGGGGTAGAAGAGGAAGATGGGGGGAAAGAGAGGGGGATAGATAGTGGGGAGTGATTAGGAGAGGGGAGGAAAGAGAGGGGGGAAAGTTTGCATAACTTATTCTCTATAATCATTACACATCCTGGCTAAAACTTATCATTTTCCCATCTTAATCAGAATCTTTTAACCTCGCTGGCTGGATTACACAAGATGTCTGTACCAATATATCACCGTTTTCCTGCAATCTCAAATGCTACATCTATCTTAACTCTTCTCTTCAATTGTGCCTTCGGCTCCTCTCTTAACTCTCTACCCCCTCCTCGCTCCCTTTCTTCCCTCCCCTCACCCTGACCATTTCCCCCCTCCTCGCTCCCTCCCTTCCCTCCCCTCACCCTGACCATTTCCCCCCCTCCTCGCTCCCTCCCTTCCCTCCCCTCACCCTGACCATTTCCCCCCCTCCTCGCTCCCTCCCTTCCCTCCCCTCACCCTGACCATTTCCCCCCTGCTCGGGTCCCGACCCAACTGTCCAGCGCCTTGGGACGTCCTCCCGACGTGAATAACGCTCTATAAATGAAATCTTGTTGTTGTTGTTAACTGCCTTAACAGTGAATCATATCCCAAGTCATGTTCTGTTTTGTTCCCTAATCTTTTCCCGTTAACTGCTCGGACTTCACCACCCTCCGACCCATACCTAACACTTCCCCACCCCCGACCCATACCGAACCAACTTCTTAAGCACTGTTTACAGGGAACAATTCATATACCCTACAATACCCGAAGTCTGTGGATCATATGGAATATGAAATCGCTGCTTAATTCCCAGCAATTGCATTACATGTTGCATGACTTTGCCAGTGAAGTGAGAACTCTGATCTGAGCCAATAGACTGAGGGAGTAAAAATATGTTGAATTAATATTTTAGGAGTTGCAGAGGCGGTAGCATTGCGTATTGGAAAGGTTTCCACCCATTTGGAAAATACATCAAGAACTCCCAAAATATATAGTATTCCGCACCTCAGGCACTGTCAGCAGCAGCACCCAAAAATGCACACTCCACCTCACCAACCCGGTCAGCAACCTACTTGTCTTATTCGACCCTCTACTGTCTTTACTCCCCACACATCCATGCCATGATCCTTCCCCCACCTCCGCAATATTGCCCAACTCCACCACTGTCTCACCCCTCAGGCTCCCGAAACCTTCATACATGCCTTCATTACAACTAGCCACAATTATGCCAATGCCCTGCTTGTCAGCCTTCCCAATTCCTCCCTCTGCAAGCTGCAGATCATCCAGAACTCATGCAGCTCGTGTCCTCTCCCTCATCACAGCTACTCTCGCCCGGCTCCACTTGCTCCCCATCCCTCAGAGGATCGAGTACAAAATTCTCATCCTCACCTTCAAGGCTCTCCATGGCCTTGCCCCCTCCTACCGCTCCGCTAACCCCTTATGAACCTGTCTGCTCCCTCCGCTTGGCAGGCTCTGGCCTGTTCCATGTCCCCCACCCAGCCTGCCCCACCATCGGCAGTCGGGCCTTCAGCCTCTCTGACCCAACCCTCTAGAACTCCATCCCACATTCTCTTTGCCTCGCTCCCTCCCTTGCCTCCTTCAAGGCACGTCTCAACATCCTCCTCTTCAACCGTGCCTTTGGACACCCTCCTATACTCTCTGCCCTCCACCCTCCCTGATCCCCACCACTCAGGTTCTAATCCCTGACTGTTCAGCGCCTTGGGACATTCTTAAGACGTGAAAGGCGCTTTACAAATGTAATTGTGTATTGTATTTTGTATTGTATTGTAGATTGATTTCCCCACGCTGTACCCGGCAAAGGACCAATGTAATTAATTTGGAGATCCACCCAGGGTCCTCAATTGGTCTGGTATGTCTCAAAAGAGCCTTTTTTCTTTTTGGATCTGGATTGTGCTGAGCACAAATAAGACAATTGTTGTAATAATTCTGTATATGGTACTCCCTTTTTGGCCACTATCCCACATTTTGAACATGTTTCAAGGTATTGTCGTATGCTCGGTGTACTTTAGTTGGTAAGTCATGCACCATGTAAATGATGTCATTACAAACTTGTTGGGGGACAACCCACAAGAGATTGCCCTCTGCATCAGTATAAAAGAGATTTGGATTTGTAATTTTGTATTTGTCACGGGTTTCTCCGATTCCATTTTACTTTCTTCTAGTCCCTTCTTAACAAGGCATTTCATCATGTCCAGGAGACTGTGTCTCAACTGGGCATATTCCGAACCTTTGATATAATTCACATCCCGTGGGGATGAGTCTCCCAGCTTTCGGGGAGAATAATTCCTCCGTTCTCCTCCACCTTTATTCCGCCTCCAACTTCCTCGACCACCATAGTCTCCGCCACTAGTAGACCGCTGCCTGGCTCTCTTTTGCGAGAAATTACCTGACGACCCTTCATTCCTCCGTTGCCCTTCTTCTGCCATTGGAGGGGATGCGCTTGGACCATTCCAATGTGTCACTGCTGACACATTTACTTGCTTCTGCTTAAACGGGGCTGCATTCCATTTTAACTGCATCCTGCGAATCAACAATAAAAACAAAACTACATTCGTAAAGTGCCTTTCAAGTCGGGAGGACAACAACAACTTGCACTTTTATAGCATCCTCCACACAGGGTAACGTCTCAGAACGCTTAGAGGACGTCCCAAGGTGCTGAACAGTTTGGGATCAGGACCCAAGCGTGGGGGGGGCAGGTATCACCTACACTTCTGAATGGATAGGATCCCTTGAATCATACATTTCCTGCAGAGCTGTCCTAATCCAAGGCGGTGAATGCCGGTCAAGTTCCAGTCCTGCTATTGCTGCTCTGGTTAATGCTCCACCATGTGCTCAATTATAATATGCCCATAATCTCTGTCCAAATGCCTGTTCTGTAAGGATCCCCTCTTTCAAATCCCACACAAGCGAAAACATCTCCCTTTGACTGAGTAGCATTTCTATTCCCTGTCTTAGTTAACATCAACTGGCAAAGCATGAAAAACTGTAGGCGTCAGCTTAAATAAAATCGGTTTAGCATGCTCCTCGTCATTTAAACCATTAAGTACAGCTATTTGTGCAACTGCTTTAAAATGCACTAGAGCATCTCCCGTGCCATTGTATTTAGGCAATTTTGGAGCCATTCCTTGTAAATCGCGAAGTGCGTAGGGGGTAATAATACGCGCTTCAAGGATAGGTGTCAGTTGATTACCTGCCTGATATGAAGGTGGTATCCACATCCATTGCTGCGTCACAGACGCCATAGTAGCAGCAGACGTTACAGACGAAGGTGTTGATGGCCCGTTCATCCATTGGTCACCGTCTCATCATCGAGGTCATCCCAGTCCACACCTGAGGAACTTTGCAGGGCCATATTCATTTCTTTCTCTGCAGAAAGCATTTTCTTTAACGCACTAATCTGTATTGTATTTTTTAATTTTTGTATTGCAGTTCTGTAGCTCAGTGGTTAGAGCACTTGTCTTGCAAGCGAGAGACTGGGGTTTGATTCCCAGCAGGGCGAAATGTTGGGCAAGTTTCCTTTACTCCACATGCCTCTGTTTACCCAGCAATAAGTAGGAACCCGGTTGTTAGTCGATTGGCGGATCACTTTTCCGGGGGTATTAATCCCTTCTAAAAAATAATTTGGTCACTCAATCCATGTCTGCTTGTAGGACACTGCTGTGCGCAATTGGCTGCCGCATTTCGCCCACAAATATAGTCAATTCACTTTACAGTCTATTCTGTGAAGCGCTTTGAAACGTCTAGAAGACGTGAAATGCGCTATATCAAATGCAAGGATATTATTATATATTATTATATTGTAATCTGACTTTCAAACACTTTATGTGAAACATTGGAGCCTTTCTGACTTTTAATTATTTAATATTATTAATCCTTGCATTTGATATAGCGCTTTTCACGTCATCTCGATGTCTCAAAGCGCTTCAAGAATAGACTGCAAAGTGAATTGACCGCATATTTGTGGGTGAAATGTGGCAGCCAATTGTGCACAGCAGTGTCCCACAAACAGTCGTGGATTGAAAATGACCAATTTATTATTGTTTTGTTTTTTTGGAGGGATTATTATTATGGAGTAAGGAAACTTGCCCAAGGTTTTGCCCTGCCTGGAATTGAACCCAGGTCTCTTGCTTGCAAGGCAAGTGTTCTAACCACTGAGCTACAGGTCTCCACAGTTGAGTTTGCACATTGTACGTGCTCTTAAATCCTCATTCTATTGTTCTAATTTACTGTATATAATACTGAGTGTTAAATATTCTGCTTCTGTCTCTTCCTTTTTTTAACCCACTATGCAAGTTGTTTGGGATTTAACTCCTTCACTTCCAACCTTACACTGACTCGAAGGAAACTTCCTTAACTTTGCCAAGTGATCTCACACTTATACCATCACTAACCAACTAGGCTGCTGGACTACCAGATTAATTGATTAGTATTTAATACCTTGTATTACATTTATGAATAACAGCAAATTACTTTTTATTCTCACTGACCCATCCGGGGTGCCAATCTGTAAGTTTATGGCTTCCTCACAGTGTAATACAAAAGTTAATATTTTAATAATCAGTCAATACATACAACCAGGGACCCTTCGGATTCAAAGACGATCCAATCCTTCCTCCGGGAGAGAATGGAAACCACTTTGTGTAGGTTGTTTATCTGCCCTCCTTCTCGGTGTGTCTGAGTCTCTTACACGGACAGTCCTTTCCTCTCGGTGTCTCTTGAGTCTCTTACATGGACGGTCCTTTCCTCTCGGTGTCTCTGAGTCTCTTAGTCTAGTTTTTCACTCTCTCCTGGTATGAAATGTTGGTCATCGCTCCTTCACAACACACCGTCCTGCTGCCGTGTGGCCGTCTGGCTTCTGCTACTGCTCATCTCCTGACCAGACAGCACTAGTCCAGTTGATGCTGGTTCTCTTTGCAACAAAATCTCTTACATAGAAACCAAACCAAGATGTGATGGCGGGGGCGGTGTCTCAGTTGCACTCTTTCATCACTTTACAAAAGTCAATAATAACTAGCTTAAAAAAAGCTTTCAATTTTGCTTGAAATTCCAAATTTTATTGCAATACAAAAGGTAATGTTTGAAACAGGTTATTTTTCATAATTTACATTTGACAGAGAATACATTACAGCTATTATATTATCGACAATATCATTATACAATTTACTGAAATCAGAAATTAAGGTTATGTGGACTTTTCAGCCATAAACTCCTCAGTACTTTATTTAATATTGCCAGTCAAATAGATGTTCACACACACCAATTCCTGACAAGATTTCAGGCTTTCACAGAACATTGATGAAGTTTGTGTATATCTTCTCATCAGGGAACATTATTATAGAATAGTCCTGAATTCGTCAAAGATGAAACTTGGGACATGCGCTTCCACAACCTTGGAGGCGGAAAAAAAAGCAAGTCAGTAGATTTTTCAGTATTACTGCCTTGCAATGGCAGCAGCCCAAATATAACATAGTTACCATTATCATCCCCCCACCAACCCCATTTGAGACTGTGCAACTTCTTGCACTCCATCATAAGAGGCTTAGTGTTCAACCTCCTTGCCCGTCTTGTTCCGAATGCATTTGCAACCTCTCAAGCAAACTGCTCTCTTTCAACGTGGCTTTAGTCACCTCTATATGTTTCCTACTTATTGCTTACGTCTATCACTGCATTTGTTTGGTTGCAACACTTATTCTTTTATATTAATGATGCTATCTAAATAGAAATAACTTGCATTTTTATAGCAATTTATCACGACAAAACATCTCAAAGCACTTCACAGGTATTGATTGTTAAGTGACGCAGCTGTCTGTAGCATACATGGCAGTAATTTCTACCAGAAAGGTCCCACAAACACCCATGAGGTGAATAACTAATTACTCTGGAGGACAGCTGTTCCCTTCTCTTTCTCCCTTTTAGAACAGTGTTTGGCCACCCAAACAGCAAGAAGAAACCTTGCTTTAATATCATTATATGAAAGACAGCACTTACAACTTTCCTATTACTACATTGGAATTTCAGTCTAGCCAAAGACCACAAGTCCTAATCTGGAACTCGAACCCACAAACTTCAATCTCAGAGTGCTACCTGCTATATCAAGCAGACTTTGGCTGATATCATGCGTCTAAATTCAAGTTGTTGCCAAATTAATGATAACATTGGGTGATTATTTCACCCTATTAAGCTTTGCAGTGCGACCTGGGCGAAGCATGGCGTCTAAGATTATTTCAACTAAGACGCAACTATCAAAGGAAGACCATTTGTCTGAACAATGTCTATGCAGACTTCCTTACTTTTCTGGGTAGTTTTGTGTAATACACATAATTCTCCAAAAACATCAAGGCAGCTACAGCATCTGCAGGCATTTCTGGGATCTTCTGACTGAAAGAGCAAAGATAAAACAAATCAAAATTGCTTATATATTGCACAACTGTACATTAAAATAAACCATTTCCAAATGTATAGTAATACCATCTTCACGCTCAGTTATACAAAGAGGCAAAGAAAGACTTGACTTTTATAATATAATTATAATATTGTCATGAAGCTGTAGTAACCAGAAGCTAAGTGTACCAGCACCACACACTCTCTTTTTCTCTCTAAAATCAAAGACAGCGACACTAACCTGGTGGTGCACTGCTCCACCGTGGAGCGGATAAACTGGCCAATCAAGGCCAGGAAATGCTCTGTGTAACGTGAGTGGAATTGCTTCAGCAACGTGACAAGTCCCACCACCAGAGGTGGCCAGTCGATGGGATCTGCAGCTTTCTTACATACCATCCCTGCAAATGGAAATACAAACTCATTCTTTACATCAGGGTGGTCCAATCTTTTGGCTGCCGCGGCCACATTCATTATTTGAAAAAGGTCGTCGGGCCAGAGAGAGAGAGAGAGGGAGAGAGGAGGGGAGAGAGAGGGAGAGAAAGAGAGGGAGGAGGGGGGAGAGAGAGGGGGGGAGGGGGGAGAGGGAGAGAGAGAGAGTGGGGAGAGAGGTGGGAGAGAGGAGGTGGGGAGAGAGAGAGGAGGTGGGGAGAGAGAGGAGAGGAGAGGAGGGGAGAGAGGGGGGTAGAGAGAGGAGGGGGTGACAAAGGGGGGGAGAAGGGGGTAGAGTGTGAGAGAAGGGGGAGCGAGAGGGAGAGAGGGGGGAGAGACAGAGATCGGGAGGGGGGAGAGAAAGAGGGGGAGAGAAAGAAGGGGGAAGGGGGGTGAAGAGGATGAAAGAAGAGGGAGAGGGGGAGAGAGCCCCATCTTAATTAAGTCTGGAAGTAGGGGATCCCAAGTCCTGACATTGTACCTACACTATTATTTTAGGCAAGTTGAAACTACTTTGGGTGCAATTTACTGGAACAACCATGGCATTAACCTACTGCAAATGTATTAACCGTTACAGTTGAATCTGAGAATACTCATTTTTAAGTCTGTAATATTGCCTCCCTTTCTCCAAACTGTACTTTCAAAATCAATCAGACCAGGAACATTTTTTTCAACTTTTCGTGGGATGTATTCTTAGAGCTTTGGGATCTTGTCATTGCCTCTCTTCTTCTCTCTTTCCATCCCCCAAATAAAAATGGGCATCTAAACAAGCAGCTTTCACCTGCAACATTTTGCAAGAAACAGGTAATAAATAGTGTGTTAATCAGAACACAACAGATTGGGACAGATTACTATACTATACCCTGGGAGTGGGGGAGGATAAAACATGAGAAAGGAAAAAATGCACAAAGACTCCTTTCCTTGCAGTAGTCAACCTGGCTCAGTTGGCAACAAGCTACACAGTCACTAAAGTTTACAGTAAATCCTGTGAAGGATTTGAGATATCTTCCCAATGTGAAAGGATCAATGTCAAATGCAAGGGTTGTTTATTTATAATCCAGACAGCAATCTACAGCTCATATCCCATACTGCCAACTAAAAGGCAATGGGTGGGCAACAAAAAGAAAGGGTGTGGGAGGTTATAGTAAATACTCTAAAACTAAAATCAGTAATAAAAAACTGACCTATCATTTATCTTTGCAGATGAAATGCCCCAGTCCTCTTTTCTACAAATGGACACAAAATCCAGGTATTTGTTTTACAAAACATGCTCAGATTACACATAGTGCACTCACCTTGGTTCTTACTGTACTGAACTTTTGGCAACTGAGAGATCAAAAATAGAAAGTTCACCACCGGAAAATATGGCAGCCTCTTTGTGGTTATATATATCTAGAAAAAAGAAAGATAGTAAAAACATAAGTGCGTGGAAAGGTCAGGTTCCATTTAGTAAAGTACTCTGGTGACTCATAGCTTGTGTTTCATTGCTCCAATTTCCAATTATATGGCAGAATTTGCCATTTTATATTTGGCATACTATTTTATTTCAAAGATTTAAATGATCTAAAGTGGTCCAATTAAAAGTGTCCTTTTGACTTCTGGGAGCTAGGTTTGAAACCAGCCCAGAAGGACTGAGGCAGCAAAGATCCAACATAAAATGAATTGTTGGCAGTTTTAGCCGCATGTTTGTGGGCTCACACCCAAAACTGCCCTGAAATCAACAACCTCAGAATGGCTTGTATAGGCATAGAAAATACCCACTGATAACATTTCTAAAGCTTTTTTTGAGGCAAGTACATTGCTGGAGCACAGCAGAGGGAACTTTACACTGCAGCTAATCTATGCTTCTTTATCTGGCTTGAGGATAGAGGGGGAAAAATTCCCTGCATCAGCATGCTTCAACCTTGAGTAGCATAAATTCACTGAAACTAATTAAATACAATCTTATACACCCTTGATTTGCATCGGAATGTAAAATACAGTATTTTATCAATTCTATTGAAGATGACTGATTTTCACTGTTATACCAGGGATGATCACCAACCCTAATTTAAATTATGAGGCTATTACATATCAAGTATAAATTCACCATATGTCTCTGTTCCGCACTGCATAGATCATCGCACAAGAACAGATGAAGAACACAATTGGCACATCAGTAATCCAGACTTGAAGCAAATAGTCAAACTGGACATGAGAGAGAATAAGAGTGAAGGAAGTATTCGGCAAATGAATAAAGTGAAAGCCACTCTACAAACAAAGATTCTACCAGCAGTTTAGTGAACAGACTGATGGAGGTTTAAATAAGTATCTACTGTGTGCAAACCTCCTTAGAAACAGTGCAGTGCAATATCCTGTGGCCAACCAGGAACTACTGGAGACCAAGGGACTAACAGCCAAAGGAGGGATTCAAGACTGATATTCAAACTCTACAGCTACCACATAGCCAAGGATCAACATCATAGAATATCGCAATTATTTATCCATTAACAACTTAATCCCTCTACTTCCTTCCCTCTTCCCTCTCGACCTCCATCTCTCTATGTCACACAAACATATACACACACCTTATTGAGAGGATTGTGGATGCCAGCAGCCTCCATGTAAGCTGTGATTTCGTACAACAGAGTGTTATCGTCTTTAGGGTAAGGCAGTGTGGGATCCCGGTAATGTGCTTCAACATCGGCCAAAAGTGCTCTGGACAGAAAAACAACCTGCATGTTAGCAAACATTCAGAACTCCTTTGAGACATGTATATAAAAAAACTTGTACCGTAAAATTCTAACAAAAGTGTATGCAACAATTAATCAGTATAAAATTTGTACAATTATAGGATCAAAAGGGTGTCGCTTATTGCACTTGCTTGTGCCGAGAGACTGTCTGTAAGAGGGAGAAAGACAAGGAGAGAAAGAGAGAGACAGACTGCAAGAGCAGTTTTTTCTATTAACCAACACGTGAAAGAATTACATAAAATCTACAGCATCAAAATAGGGCAATCAACCAAAGTAATCTGTGCAAGTATTTACACTCTGTGCAGGTGTCTAAACAAACTAATCCGCTCTTTCTAAGCGCTCTGAGACACTAGCTTCTATGAGGGGCACAATATAAATGCAAGTTGTGGTTGTTCTAGCTTCCCCCAATTCCTTTCAACAACAACAACAACAAAATTACATTTGTATTGAGCCTTTCACGTCTGGAGGATTTCCCAAGGCACTGGACAGTCAGGGATTTGGACCTGTGCAGGCGGTTGGGATCAGGAAGTGTAACAGCAGGCTGATTGAGACAGGAACCAAGCTGATTTTTCCACTCGCCAACACTGTTTGATTGTAGCATTGAGATCGACTGGGAGATAACTGCGGACAAAGTGGGATCCATACCCAACCTTATTTGGGAGAGCAACTTGGGGGAGAACTTATTTTTAAACTGGCTGAGATCACTTCAGTGACCTCGGTCAATAGAAGCAACCGAAAATGGATGTTGACAGAGCTCCATAAAAGTCATTGCAAAAAAACGTGCCAAACCTTGACCTTAAGTCGGGGAGCCAAACAGGTAAACAACAATGACATAATTATCCTAAGGCGACATTCCCTTTCAATCAGTGTGAGAGACATTAATTGACTTCTGAATGCTCAGATAATGGAAGTTATATCTAAACTGGCAGTTCCTAGTGTTCTGGATAACTGATGTCCTTACTGGTTGAGGTTTTCCAGTGCTGCGGCAAGATGCTTGGAATCAAACTTGCATGAATAGCTCAGCTCATTGGCAATCTGCTGCCTTAGAATCTGCATCTGACCCACCTACACATTAAAAGGAATAATCCTGTTAATTACGGCAGAACAGATGAAGGCAGAATTTAGCAAATAGATAAGTATTCATAATTCAAACAGCGCACAGTAATTTTAAAGATAATTCCCATTACAATAGGTAAATAGCCATGTAAACATACATTTCTACACTAGATAATTTGTTTCAGGAATGAGTTTTCTCAAATCAGATGAATGGGGGGAGGATATTTCAAAGGACTTTACAAAGCTGCCTGGGAGGCTGAGCCGAGGCTCAGTGTAGGGAGGGGGGGGGTTAAGGAGCTGACAAGAATGGGGGAGGGGCAAGATAACCGTGTATGCAGTGAACATCAAGGTTTAAAGGTGGGGAGGGAGGGCTACATGGTAGTTGGTGATGGTGGGAGGAGGAGAAATCTATAAAATGTTAAATAATAACAGTAATAGGGTGCAATCAGCATTTCTGGATTCATTGCACATGCCCACAGAAAATTGGGGGCTTCCACAACCTGGTCATCTTCCCACATTAAACACATGGCTGAGTTGCAGGCAACAGGTCACCACTGACGTCACTTCCGAGCTCGCCACTCAGGAAATGAGATCAGCAGTATCCTGTGACCTGAAAGCTAACATTCATTTTTAAGTTTGTGTGAAGCTGGCTGGTTTCTGTGCATATTTGGATGTTTTGGTTTATAACAGATTTCTACTGCACTTTGATTAAAATTGACTGCTCTCTCTCCATCAAGTTTGGAACACAGGAATTTAGGTAGAAAAGTCTGTTTGGCCCATCGAGCCCATTCAGCACAGACCATTCCATTGGCAATAATTATGTGCCTGTTCTTCCCTTTATAGTGGCAGAAAATTTTACGAAGCATCTTAAAATGTTTAAGGAGTTATATAAAAGATCATTCCTATCATATTACACCCAATCGCACGTTAGAAAACGTAATACCTCCTACTTAGAGAGAGGGGATATTCTTTTGAGTTAGGCTTTATTAATGATTAAATGGGCAGCAATCCATGGATTAGTCAGGCCTTTTCCATATAGTCCTGATATAAGTCATGCACTCTTTGGACAGATTTGAATATAAAATAGCGCAATTGTTCAATTCATCAATCTTTTATGTACACTATTCCAGCTCTTCATATCAAACAGATTTTAACACTAAAGGTCACTTAGACCTACAACAACAACAACAACAACTTGGATTTATATAGCGTCCTCCACGCCGGACGGCGTCTCAGAGCACTCTACAGTTTCAGATCCCGGGACCGAGCCAGGGTGAGGCGGGGGGGAAGGTGACCAAAGGCGCGGTCGAAAAGAAAGGTCTTCAGCAGAGACCTGAAAATGGGAAGGGAGGGAGCGAGATGAAGGGAGTGAGGAAGGCAGTTCCAGAGCCTCGGGACATAGTGGCTGAAGGCACGGCCGCCGAGGGTGGAGCGGAGGACTCGGGGGACAAGGAGGAGGCCAGACCCGGAGGATCGAAGGCAACGGGTACTGTGCTGAGGAGAGAGGTCAGAGAGTAAGGGGATGCAGAGGAGTACAGGGGCTTGAATACGATGGTGAGGATCTTGAAATCGATCCTCTCTGGGACAGGGAGCCAGTCCAGTCTGGCAAGGACTGGGGTAATAGGGGAGCGGAGTTTAGTACGGGTGAGAATGAGGGCGGCAGAGCTCTGACTTTCAGCGGCTTTTGGGGAGAGGTATTTGTGGAGACGGGTGATGCGTCAGACATACTGCATACTCTTTCCAGTTTACCATTCATGCCAAGTTTCATTTTTTTAAAAAATAAATAATTATCAACAGAAACTCTTCCCAACCCTAACCACTTCCAAACATTTTAAAAAGATAAGTGCGAAGCCCTTTGAGATGTTCTCTTGACATGAAAGCTACTGTAAATTGTTATTGTTCGTGATACACAAGTTTCAGGACATAATTGTCCCATTTATCTTATTGAACACCACAAAGCAATATGCCAAGCTAGCACAGTGGAGACACCACAGACCAGTATTCTGACTGGGATACTTTTCTGAAAAAAATGTTGTGTATCCAATTATTTTTAGAATTTTCTTACTTCCCACTTGCATATCCCTCTTCTCCAAATGCAGTAGCATTGTTCATGTGTGTCTCAGCAAGCCATCAAACTGTAGGCTGTGTCACACAGAAGCCTGACTACTACACACCTGGCTACCACAAAAGTGCATAACCAGTGGAGCCCTGAAGATGGAGGAGGAACCCTGGCTGATTTTCCCCTCCCTAATCCTGAGAAAGAAGGGCCAATTTAGAATCCCCATGTATCCCTGGCATTGACCAGCAAACTCAGCATGCACCAGGATTCGTAGCAGTGAGCTCCTGGTCTACAACTGCACCAGCAGGGCTGCCAAAGTGACTGGGATCCTAATTGTGGTGTAGAACTGGACTTGGGCTCCACCACATTGTGTACTGCCTTGGTTGTGACCTCGTCTGAAGATATTCTCCTCCCTCCCCCCACACCATTTTATTGTAAATCAATAATCCAGAATAAAACTTTAAAAAGGAGGAAGTAATAACTAAGTAAACATTAAGGATTTTGATAGAGTCTGAACATAGTTACCTTTAGAATAGAATCTTGATAAACGGACCAGATTTTCTGAGTTTTCGCCACAGCAGTGGAATACACTTTGCTGGAATTCGCTAAAATTAATGAAAATGAAAAACACAAGCTCAAATATTTCCAGAAGGTTTTCTTGTTGTGGCCTCTTACAGAATCAGTAAACTTGACAGTTATTAGTTGTGAAGTGTTTGAAATGTCTGACATGACAAGCTGACAATGCAAGTTCTAAGTAAGCATTAAAGCACAGAATCTAGGAAAATAAATGTATTTTAACCCTGTCTTCTCACAGAGCAGTGAAGTCTGTGGACATTGCCAGAGATCCCACCAACATATCATCCCATTAATCACTTCTTTATTAATTTATCTATCTGTTTATGTGATGTGGGAAACATGACTAGTTTTCCTATCCTTTCATCAAAGGTGTGCAAACTCCCTCTGGAGAGAAGCCCCTGTGTTAATTCCATTATATGCAGATTACCCTGTCTTTTAGAAGAAAGATGTATCCAAGTTGGATACAAAAAAAAACAACTTAAAAGAGCCCCCATAACATTTTTCCCAAATTCCAAATTGGTAACGATGGGCTTTCAGCCTCAAGTGCTTCTATGAGATGTGGGATAATAACAATCCTTACATTCGATATAGTGCATGTCATGTTGGAAGGATGTCTCATAATGTTTCACAGGATACACTGTATAGTCACTGTATTTTTGTGGGCAAACACAATAGCCAATTTTTGGGCTGCAATCTCTTGGCCAATGTACGCACAGAGAGGATAATCAGATGGGCTTAAACTCTTGTCCTCCTTCTGGGATCAACACATTAATACTGTACAGTACTGGTTTCAGCTGTCAGAGGCCTTATCCTGCATGAAGGTTGCTAAATAAATGCAAATTTTGTTGAAGTTGTTGTACCGATTGTTTCCTTCTCCAATCAGCACAATAACATTCAACAAATTAACAATGTTTGCTCTCCTCCAGCTAAACTAGAATATATTCAAAATTATTTTCCCATTCACTCTTTTGATATCAACTATTGACTAAGGATTGGTAATGATGGGAAATCAGAATGAAAAACAATAGAGTGCCAAAGGCCACCACACACTGCAGATGCTTTGTGGACTGACTTACCTACGATTCCTTTCAGCGGGGCCACCTGATTCAAGAACAATTTGAAAGTGTCCAACATCACCTTATCTCTCAGCACGTTTCGTTGAAGCACAAGCAGGAAAGTCTACAAAATAACACAGGCATTTTGAAAATACAGCATCTTCTCATCCACCATCGAAGTCCAGCAAGACTGAACTTAGTGCAGATCTGCAAAATCTTTAGTTTAAACTTGGTGAGAATACCTGGAGTGCAAGGTTTAACATTTCATCATTTTACAAACAGCAAAAATGTTGTCATCCTGGCTCAGTTGGTAACACTCTTACGTCCGAGTCAGAAGCCGGTAGGTTCAGGATTTCTTTTCAAAGCAAACATTTATTAAAACATTATGTTTAATATTGCTTATCATAGAAATGTGACCATTCAGCTCATTTCTCTGTGTTGGTATTTGCTTCTCCAAGAAACCGTCCATCCAAATTACCATTCTTTCCATGTATCCGCTAACACCAGTACCTTGCATTTGCTTGTCCAATTCTTTTTAAATGCCCAATTGTCTCTACTCTGACATCCACTGCTTGAAAATCATTCCATATCTTGACAACCCTCTGGGAGAAGTTCTTCCAAACCTTTTCTTTTACTCCCCTAGTGATAATCTTGAATTCACAACCTACTCTTCGAATCCTGAACTAGCGGAAAATTTTTCAGGATTAATTCTCTCAAACTATTAGTTTGTAGACGTACGCCTTCAAAAATAGTCACTCCACTTTATAGTATATTCCGTCAAGTGCCTTGAGACGTTGTCCAAACGTGAAAGGCATAATATCAAATAAGAATTGCTATTATCTTGAACACCTCTATCATATTACTCCTCAACCTTCTCTGCTCCAACGGGGTGAGTCCAAATGTCTCTCATCTCTCCTACCTATATCCTTTCATCTCTGGTATCATTACTTTTTCATTTAACTTTATTTATATTCACTTTAATATAAACACAGTCCCAATGACCTCAGAAGCCAAGGCGTGGTTAGTGGGGGATGGAGAAGGTAACGAAATGACAAAAATAATATACATTTATCATTGCAAACTATTGGGAAATGTTCATAATAACAACAAAATTACATTTGTAAAACGCCTTTCAGGTCAGGAGGACGTCCCAAGGCTCTGTACAGTCAGGGATCAGGACTGTTAAAAGGAGAAATTTTCACATACAGATTCAGAATGAAACAGGTAGAGCAGAGCTTGGCTGATATTAAGGTGACACATATTCAGTGTAATCTACAACCATGAGATATTTCCCCTTTACCTGGATCTCCTTCACAATCATGAAGCAGAGTAGTCTGTCCAGCCCATTCAGCCCGAATGTGCCTAAAGAGTTCTGGAGTTCTGATAAGAGCTGCTTGTTGGTCACTTCTTGATGAGTCTTCAGGTCGTACCATGTGTTGATTTGGTCAATATAGCAGGTCACTCTGAGCAAAACAGAAATCTCTATCACTTAAAGAAAAGATCAGTGTGTAGCAAGGAGGTTGGGGACCACATGGTTTAGAGTGATGGAAAAAGGGCACAGTAATTGTAAGCACTTTTGTTTTAGCGTGAAATGTGTGACTAGGAAACTGTTTCTTTTTCCGTTGCCTTTTTCTCCCTTCGCCTGAAGACATTGAATTGTGCCATTAGTTCACCTAAGCAGTCATTCTTCAATCCTCTCCTTATCTGACTTGCACACAAAGCCACTGGATAGTCATATTGAGCAGGGACCCTGTCAGATGTTCAATCACAGCTAACCTATGGTACCTGGCAGATAATGAATCGTTGGTTTGAGGACAACCTTATAACCAGCATCCAAGACCAAGAAGAAAATAAAGCCCCTACTTTACCAACATGAAAGCTGATCATTGATAGATGTGACAAGAAACGTCCGCTCACTTCAGACATGGCTTTGGTCAAAGGGAAGGAAGGTTTCTAATAGGATTACATAGTCTGAAAATGGGGACGAGGAGAGAACAAAATATTATGAATAAGTTTAGGAATAATCTCCTAAAAATTTATACTTTAAAATTTCCTTTAACTATGACCCTTTTCACTCCAGTAAAGTTTGTATGTGGACAATATTAGCTCCACCACAGTGCACAATCTGGAGTTTGTGCATGAGTTTTAAAGCCAACATCTGCTCCATCGCCAAACCCAACTTACTTCCACCTCCAGAAAATTGACACTTATGCCTCTCGTTCACCTCTACTGCTGCCTTGATTCACCTAAAGGATAGATTTTCCAATGCTCTCCTCCTCATTAGCCTCCCTGAATCCACTCTCCAAAACCTTCAATTGATCCAGAAATCTGCATCTCAATTTCTTTCCTGCACAGGCCTCTGCACATCCTTTAACCTCATCCTTGCAAATCACTAACAGCCTCCAGTACCTCAGGCAATCCTTATCCTAGAAACAAACAACAACAACAACAACAAGATTCCATTTATAAAGCGCCTTTCACGTCAGGAGGACGTCCCAAGGCGCTGCACAGTTGGGTCATGACCCGAGCAGGGGGGAAATGGTGAGGGGAGGGAAGGGAGGGAGCGAGGAGTGGGGAAATGGTCAGGGTGAGGGGAGGGAAGGGAGGGAGCGAGGAGGGGGGAAATGGTCAGGGTGAGGGGAGGGAAGGGAGGGAGCGAGGAGGGGGGAAATGGTCAGGGGGAGGGAAGGGAGGGAGCGAGGAGGGGGAAGAGAGTCGAGAGGGGAGCTGAAGGCACGGTCAAAGAGAAAGGTTTTCAGACCAGCCTTGAAGGAGGAAAGGGAGGAGGCGGCGAAGGCACTGGGGGATGGAGTTCCAGAGCCTGGGGGCTGAGAGGCTGAAGGCCCGACCACCGATGGTAGGGCGGTTGGGGCGGGGGACGTGGAGCAGACCGGAGCCAGAGGAACGGAGAGTACGGACAGGTAGGTAGGGGGATAGTAGGTTGGAGAGGTAGGAGGGAGCAAGGCCGTGAATGGCCTTGTAGGTGATGCATGATGAAAACATAGGAAAGCAACAGCATGGTTCACAAACACACACTTACTTAGGATCAGTGATTCTCAGTATTTCCCTGCACAGTCGCCCAATAAAAGTCACTGATTCATCGACAGGTTGGAATTTGGGGATTGGGATGTGGGTGGACTGGTACATGCTCTGCCAGTCTAGAATCTGCAACAGTGAAAGCACATCTGTTATTAAGACACAGAAAGCCTTATAAAAAGTACTACTGAGGTGTATAAAATTATAAAAAAGGATTTAATATGCTGAATAGTGAGCAACTGTTTCCTCTTGCGAGAGAATTAAGGATTGAAGGCTGTAAACGTAAATTTGAGACTAAACTGTACAGTGAAATAAGGAAGCATTTTTTACACAGTCGGTGGTGGGAGTGTAGAATTCATTCCCCGAGGGGAGAGGAGGCAGTCAATTACAAAATTTAAAGGTAAATAGATAAATACTGGATTTAAAAATAATAATTTGATCACTCAATCCACGACTGTTTCTGGAAAACTGCTGGGTGCAATTGGCTGCCTCGTTTCTCCCACAAAATATACAGTCAATTCACTTTACAGTATATTCTGGGAAGCATTTTGAGACATCGGAAAGATGTGATAAGGCACTATATCAAATGCAAGGATTATTATTATGGACAGATTTACGTAAAGGTGTGCACTGGAGAGAAATAATAAACAAATTAACCAAAAATAACCAACATTTAAAAATATTTAAAAAGAAAGACCTTTGTCCTCAGGAAGTTATTGCACTCTTGTTCCACATTGTAGTTGATAATTCGGGACACTTCCTCCTGCCATATCTTCAGCCCATAGATGCTAACATAATCCTGGATGTATTCAAATGAACGGTAGAACCCATCCATTGTGGCAGCCATTTCTTTCAATTTGGGCATAAGTTCACTGGTCTACAATCAAAGAATACAGTGAGGTTTCAGGTTTTTACACAAACTGGTTTCCATGCTGATTTGTACGTCTATCAATTCTTCTCATTTTATTGTCATTTTATCAATAATTCGTATAGATTATACATCACCATATATACATATGTAAGATTACAACACAAATGCTGAATAGTTCAGAACCCATTCTAACCCCCATAGGAGTTTGAGGTTTCTGTTAAAGACAAACTCGAATACGGAATTCTGTTAAAAGTAATGCCCTTTAGCTATAGGAAAGAAATATATCTTCAGCCTATTTACCTATACTGATTTTAATGCAGAAAATCCTTGGGACCTGGCCCTGAGCTAACATATTCCAGAGATGTGCAGAGGAACTAGGCTACCCCACCCCCCCCAAAATACTGAAGCTGGCAAATATGCAGAAACACACAATATTACAGTGCTTTCATGGAGACAACCTTCTCTGGACCATCTCCAAAACAGCCTCCCAATAAAACTAAACAGGCTTTCCAACAGCCAAATGCACTGCCTAAGAAATCATAAGGTCAATAGTTCAGTTGCCATTAGCTCCCCCGGGGCCGTGAAAGACAAACTTTGATTCGGGTTTCCACTTCTCACTGCCACTCAGTGAATTTTAACATCAGGATACAGTAGGGTTGTGTTTGACTGTGGTCTTTGAGCCTGCTAATGCTGTTCATGGTTTGAGCATGGATTACCATCCACAATACAGTGGTTACAATACAATTACCATCCAGGCTCAAAACGTAAAGAATTATAACGTAGGAGGAATTGAGTGTATGATAGGGAAGCCTTTTACATTGTCTGTGAAAGGAATGGGCTTGATGGGGCAAATGGACTTTACCAATTTGTACTTTGTTTTCAAATGATCTTTAATAACTTTGCTTTTCTTTCAAAAGAGCCAGGTGACGGGGTGCGTATACACAGTGGAGTCTTCATTGTAATCTGGGCATCCTCTCACCTTGGCTTTAGGGTTGAAGATCAGCCCCTTGTGAAGACCAAAGGCAACCCTTTTGACCAATTCCTTCCGAATCCCATCTTCCAACAACTGCTTAGGATCCACCTTTATAAAAGGAAAAGACATTTGATTGATACATGGCCTCTAGTTTTTGTAGACTGAGCTCTGCTCAATAATGTTGGAGGACTGAAATCCCCCTCAAAAGGTTTCTGGGAACATTCATCCTCCTTGTGAAAGTTGTTCACCAAAAAATGTTTAGACCGTTTAAAAAGAAACGTCAAAAACAGGGAAACGTAAAACAACAACAACAAAATTAAACTTATATGGCGCCTTTCATGTCGGGAGGACATCCCAAGGTGCTGGACAATCAGTGTTTCTGACCAGAGCTGGGGGTCAGGATCAGAGAGGGTAAGATAAGGGGGGGGGGAAGGAGGGTGACCCAAGGCACGGTCGAAGAAGATGGTCCTGAGACGGGTCTTGAAGGAGGCAAGGGAGAGGGCAAGGTGGAGGGACTGCAGAATGGATTTCCAGAGGTTGGCTGAAGGCCCACCCTCCAACGGTGGGGTGGGCGAGGTGGACGACATGAAGCAGGCCTGCTGAGCGGAGAGAGCAGGCAGGTTGGGAGGGGGTTAGGAGGTTGCAGAGATAGGGCGGAGAAAGGCTATGGAAAGCTTTGAGGGTGAGGATCAGGATCTTGAATTGAATCTGTGTGATGGGAAGCCAGTGAAAGTGGGGGAAGATAGAGGTGATAGGGTCACGGAGCCTGGTACGGGAGGGACACGGACTGCAGAGTTTTGGATGATCTGCAGCCTATGGAGGGAGGAGTTGGGGAGGCCGACAAGCAGGGAGTTTGCATAGTCAAGCCTGGATGTTATGAAGGCGTGTATGAGGGTCTCGACGGAGGAGTGGCGCAAGAGGAGTGTGTGAGAGAACAGCAGTAACTTGCCTAAGATCTGAGAGGTGCCCAGTTTACTAATATCCAATTAACAACAACAACAACATTCCATTTATAGAGCGCCTTTCACGTCGGGAGGACGTCCCAAAGCGCTGGACAGTTTGGTCAGGACCCGAGCAGGGGGGAAATGGTCAGGGTGAGGGGAGGGAAGAGAGAGAGCGAGCAGGGGGGAAATGGTCAGGGTGAGGGAAGGGAAGGAAGGGAGCGAGGAGGGGTTAGAGAGTCAAGAGGGGAGCTGAAGGCACGGTCAAAGAGAAAGGTCTTGAGACCGGCCTTGAAGGAGGAAAGGGAGGAGGCAGCGAAGGCACTGGGGGATAGAGTTCCAGAGCCTCGGGGCTGAGAGGCTGAAGGCCCGGCCACCGATGGTAGGGCGGTTGGGGCGGGGGATGTGGAGCAGACCGGAGCCAGAGGAACGGAGGGTACGGGCAGGTAGGTAGGGGGATAGTAGGTCGGAGAGGTAGGAGGGAGCGAGGCCGTGAATGGCCTTGTAGGTGAGGATGAGGATCTTGAATTCGATCCTCTGGGGGATGGGGAGCCAGTGGAGGTGAGCGAGGGTGGGAGTGATGTGGTCCGAAGCCTGGTGCGGGACAGTACACGAGCTGCAGAGTTCTGAATGACCTGCAGCTTGTGGAGGGAGGTGCCGGGAAGGCCGGCGAGGAGAGAGTTCCCATAGTCCAGCCTTGAGGTGATAAAGGCGTGGACCAGAGTTTCAGAAACATGAGGGGTGAGGTAGTACCATAGTCTAGCGATGTTTCGGAGGTGATGGAAGGCGGCGCCAGTTGTGGCGCGGATGTGGGGAAGAAAGGACAACTCAGGGTCGAACAGAACACCGAGGTTCCTGACCGGCTTTGAGAGGTGGAGAGTGCAGCCTTGGATGCTGATGCTGTCAGCGCCTAACCCTGAGCCACCAGCTCTCCAGATAAAGTTATCAAAATAAGGATGGATGTTATGGATCTATCTCAATAATAGATTAACTAACTTTGAACAACATTGAGTAATCACAGCTCATATCAAACTGAATTTTGAGTTTTCAGTAGCATTTCTACTCTCAAGAAAAAAAGTGCAATAAGATCACAATGTAAATATCACACATTATACTCTGAATATTTCTCCCTTCATACTTTTTAATTTGTATCATTTGAAATTTACAGAATTGTTTTTGCACTTTGGTTTTGCCCTGTTTGCATGCACCACCACGCTACGTAATTCTATCATAAACAACTGTGAAACTAAGGGTTCAAAAAAGTATTAAATACAGTGTGGCAGTTAAACATGTCACATATGCAGGATGCTATATTCTCAACCTCACCATCAACTGACTCATGCAGTCACAATAATTTCTCATAATACGATGAAGAACAATACAAGATAAAAAAAAATAATAAACTGGTCACTCAATCCATGACTGTTTGTGCGACACAGCTGAGCGCAATTGGCTGCTGCAATTTTGCCCACAAAATATAGTCACTTCACTTTACAGTATATTCTATGAAGTGGTTTAAGACGTCTCGAAGATGTGATAAGACGCTATATCAAATACAAAGATTATTATTATACAATATAATTCAACTAAAAGTGAGTGTCAGGTCCCAAACAATCACCATTTAAGCTGTGGAAGAAGATGCGTGATTGAGAAACATGAATGTAAAGTAATTTTAAGAATCTCCAATGTCAGAGAAACAGAACCGCAAATGTCACTTGCCTTAATGATACCAACAAGGGTGGTTTTCATCATGAGAATGCCTTCGGTGAATATTGATATTGCATGGGTAAGTCTAGCAACCTTTGGGGTTAAAGCAAATTTAAAAACAAAAGTTAATGTGATACCAGCTTCAAGAAAAACAACTGACAAAAGTCTTATTGCTTTTGGAACGGAAAATAGTAAGATGAAGAATTTCACACAAAAATGTCACAGTCATTTTGTCTGACGCATGTGGTGACCTATTACCGTGATTTAAGCATATCCAAACTAAACTGAGAATTCCACATATGTTCGCCACCTACATATGGAAATGCCCCTGTGTCTGGAATATTATTATTGGCAATAATAATAATTCTTACATTTGGTATAGCACGTTTCACATCAGGAGGACAGCTCCAACAGCTTCACACGATATACCGTAAGATGAAATGACTGTGTTTTGTGGATGAGCGGAATGCGCACTCTCTCCCTTGAGGGACACATCCCACTTACCTGATTTCAGGGCTTGGGGACCTTAGAGTATGTGTTAGGGTACTGCTGGAATTTAACCAGCCAAAGCTGCATGGGTGGGAAGCTACTCCTGCTTGTCCGGTGGACCTGCCTGGCTGAGACTGCCACAGAGGATTGACATGATTCCGACATTTCTGTGCTACCTCAGCCCAAAAGACCCTGCTTACCCCCATCCCCCACCCCACCCCAGAGGATAGAGATTAGAATGTAGCGGAAACTACAAGTCTGTGACACTGTCAAAATACTAACCCAGAACGTTTAGCACCTTATACCTTTTTCATCTTCAGCACCAACTAACCAACACCACATGAGTAAAGCCACCATCCAATCCAGTCAAATACACCTTCCCTCCCCCTCATACCTCATATCTTGCACCAAGCTGAGCATAATCCTTCAATTTATCTTTGTCCACACGAGTTGGAACTTCCATAATGTTATGTGTCTGGAGTTTTATAATCTTTGCCAAGGATGTAAACATACTCTCTGGAATAATCTGTAACACCTAAAATAATAATAGACTGATAAGACAACAATCCCTCAAATAAAGCAAATAAAACTGCTCATTCATTTTATGGCTGTTTGCATAACACTGCTGTGTGCAAATTGGTTGATGCTTACAAAATATAGTCACCATACTTTACCGTAAATCCTGTGAAGTATTTTGAGATTTTGTTGCAACGTAAAAGGCGCAATCTCAAATACAAGGTTTATTTATTATCATTCACACATTTTTATATAGCACCCTTCATGTAGGTAAACATATCGGAGTGGTTCACAGCGATGGTGTAGGACACTGAGTAAGGGAGGAGGGGGAGAGCGCAAGTGACCATCGTCCCAGTTGAAGAGGTATATTTTTTGACAGTATTTAGGCAAGATGGAGGGAGTTCCTGACAATGGATGCAATGTTACTGATTGTTCAGCCACCATTGGTGGAGTGAAGGATGCGCAGCAGGCCCACGTGTGCTAAAGGGGCCTAGCAGAGGAGTAGGTTAAAAATCAGATAGGAGTCGGCTAGATAAGTGCTAAAGCATCAAAGGATTTGTAGATGTGGACCTTGAAATCATTCCTTTCAGAGACAGTAAAAGCTCTGCCACATAAATCACCTAGGTTAAATTAAGTGAGTTAAGCAACAGACCGAGAACAGGATTGGCCTCTATAGTTGTGAATTACTGAATCATTTTTGAGACCTACCTTTCTAACATAGGCCACGAGCTCTCCGGAGTAATATTGGGACACACTCAGCAGGTCAGGGCTATTGGCTTGATTTATTCGCATCAGGGGAAGGTCAAGGGCTGAAGCCAACTGAAATAAAGGCAGGACAACAAATTAATTCCAGATATGAATGTCAATTTTTGCAAACCTTCAGTGATACTGCTCGTTAAAACAGATCATAGCTTTCAACATGCACAAAACCGTGCTCACAAATGTACGTTTACAAACACAAATCTCCAGTGCATCACTAAAAAGGGTGACATTAATTGCCTGTGTTTTTTTTATTCTTGATTATGCAGATTTACAGTTAAATGAGTGTGAACCTGTGGAACCTGGCATCTTCATAGAAACCGTCCTTCTCCACAGGTCATTGGTATTTTTAAAAGGCAAGTGGTTTGCCCGACAAACCAGAGACTGAACAAAATTAATCACTAGCCTAAAAATAAGAGATTGAACATTGATTACAGTGATAAGTGGCCGGAATGATTGAGCTACAAATGACTTGTGGGAAACCCCCACAAAAAAGAGGAAGAGGGGGGGGGAAAAAAAATAAGAGAGGACTCCAATTGCACCAAAACGCAATGGATTCTTGTCAGTTCCAAATTGCTGGTGAGAACACTGCAGAGACATCGGTCTGAATCAGGCAGAGAAACGTACCGCCCGCATTTCAGCTTCAGTGGACAATCAAATAAATAAAAGTGCCAGTGGTTCAACATATAATCACATTAATTCTATAAGCACACGATCACATCAACTCAATAAGCATTACTTCAAATACCAGGGTTGGCAGATTCAACCTCCAGAATTTCACTCCTCCGCCTCCACTCACCTTTATAAATGTTGCTTTAAGTTTGGTTACCATGAAAGGGCTAACTCGAATACCTTCTTGCATGATAGTAGTGTAGCTGCGGAGAAGTGGCATGAGATTATCCATGGTCTAAACACACAGGTTAACTGCAGCAGTACAACATGTGATCTAGCAAAGAAACACTGCATGCAAAAGCCGAAAGAGCAAAATACAGAGAGCATATTTTCAACTATAGGTATATATAAAAAAATCCAAGAGAAAGCAGTTTTAATCACCGAACCTCTATGTGCAAACATTGCTTGTGTAGCAATCAGTTGGACAGAGTTTAATTCAGCTACCAACTTCCAGATACAGCATCAATATGTTCAAATCTAAGATTTCTTGAAGGTTTAGTAAGATCACTAGGCATTGCATTGCATCTGAACCATAGCCTACTTTGGATTGCTACACCAGACACCATGTTTAAGCAAACAATTTTTGTTTTAGAAAAGACATGTGAAAAATTCCCAGTTTCAATAGTTCTGGCCAGCTACTTTTGTCTAAACACTTTTTTGTCTTGCTAAGATTCTTATTGAATTACATTGGTTTCATTCACAAAATGCTGCACAGTTGTTATCATTTAAAAACCCCAAACCAGGAGGATTTACACACAAGTGGATTTACAATGTTTGGAGTGTATTTTGCACAGATCTGAATGTTTTTCCCCTCGCACCATAAAGTTTGTGTCGGTGACGAAGATAAAAGGAGTGAAGCAGGAGTGATTTTGATCAAACCACTTCTCATGGTTATTTAACAAACACCATAAATTAAGAAGTGTTGTGCGGTTATGTGCACTTATCGAAAAATAGGCTTCAATATTCAGCAATGGTAAAGTCAGTTACTTTTGCAGGACATACGATGAAACCATTCGTGGACTGTAAAAGCAGAAGAGGAACATTCAATACTGAACAGGTTTCCTGCGACAAGACCCGTCAAAGAAAAGGCATAATCTCTTTACTTATACCTCCTCTACAAATGAGAATATCCCAGACCTTTATAATCTTACAGCAATTTCAACAAAAGTTTCATAGTTTTATTCATAATCCTGTGACAATCCACACATAAATCCAACATAAAATTCAAGACTCCTTTCCAGAATTAATGTGTTTTTTACCTGTCAATGAGCTGCCAAGCATACGAAAGGTCTCCAACGATCTGCATAGTGATGAGTACCTCTTCCTTAATGTTTATGGTGCGAATCATCTGATGGAGGAACTTGCGAGTGTCTCCCAGGAACTGACAGATCTGCAGATTGGATTCCAGCTGGTGGAACTCCTGGACCTGAGCAAGAAAATTGAAATCTTCACCATCAGCAGCACTACCAGGGAGAGGGATGTCTCTGGGAGAACACGACTATGTGGACTTAAACTACCAGATTTGCCCACGGCACCACGCCTAATAATAATCCCTCCAAAAAAAAACAACAAATAATAAATTGGTCAGTTTCAATCCATGACTGTTTGTGGGACGGTGCTGTGCACAATTGGCTGCCAGTCGAGAACTAATCCTTTCTTTATAAACGTCTCTATGCATGCACCTTGGGGGCAATTGGAACATTTTGACTGCTGCCCCATCTGAGATTTCCCGGAACCCAATTTCACAGAAGTAGAATTTAAGATTGGGATTGAAATGGGATGGATGGACATACAGATGGCACCACACACACACATAAACACACAGGAGGACTTAAAATACTGCCTATGTTGAAGGGTACAAGTTGTTATACTTGCACGATTGGCTATTTACGAATCAATTTACACAGACCACAAATTAATCCCCGATTTTAGACCAGATAAAATGGAAGAGCACTCATTAAAAAAACATTACTGGACACAGTGATCTAAAGGTGCATTGTAAAAACATCTAACTTGTTAATCTATGTTTTACACCGTTTGAATTTGAAAACTGAACCAAATCTTTTAAAGTCATAACTGGATTTCCATTTCAACTTGCAGAGACTGTAACAGTATGGTTTTCTGGTTGACCTCACCTCTTCCAGGGCCTGGATTAACTGCACTGTTTTTCTCCCAGCTGCTGTGGAGTCTTCATAGTTCAAGGAGGAGATCTGTTTGGAGATCTCTCTGAACCAGGCTTGCAGATTTTCTGATGGCAAAAGGTTATTTCAGAAAATAAGGATTCTGTTGTACAAAGTTTGAAGTGACTATAAATGCTTTGGGTCCAGATACTTTTTTGTCAGCATTACTACCCTTTAAATTCCATCCTCAGATATAACAAAGGATACTTGAAATAGACAATTTATAAAACCAGAAAACAGCAGAACACAGGCACACTATTCCCCCACACATTAAGAAGTCATCATGATCTGTCACATACCATTTTTTTCAACCCTGGTGAGCGGTTTTACTCCAGAGAAGACCTCCGCCAGCTCAGTCATTCTCTCAGAACCCTCCTTCTTGAAGCTTTCCCATTTTACCTGCTTTTCTGAGAGCATTTGCCTGAACATCTGGCAGGAAAACCAGGAAATGAAAAGCAAACTTCAATGAAACAGAATTGAATCCCATAGGATGGGATTTAGTTGGAATTTTAGTTCTAACAAAGAAAAACAAAGAACTTTTAACATTCCCATAAATAAAACTAACAATAGGTACATTTCAGCTCCTTTTCCTTACACTACTGTATTCTATATTCTAAAGGTGAAAGTAGCATTGAAGATGTACAGGTCCACAAGTTCCCTACAATCCTATCCTATGCTCTCTGTACATCTCACCATGGAAGGAAGATTCTTATGGCCAGAAAGGGGAATGCTAATACCTTAGCATAAAAGGTGACCTCAAAATGATAACTAAATGTTCAAAAACTTAAGTGTTGATTACTTTCATAAAGTGCAAAATTCTATTAGGTATATTAATCAAATCTGTAATTTGATGGACATTATTTGGATGTAATGTAAATAAACAATTTGGTGATTAAATATAGCTGAAAACCTGGTGCAGAGTAAATACAATCTTGAATTTGCAGCATTTGTGCTACTGTTTCCTCTTCAGTACTTTTTAAGATTTACGTATTACTTTTGTCATCATATCCACTTAAGCAATGTTTGTTTGCAGAATGCCAGCCTCAAAGAGAATCACCTACCTCCTTCAAGACATACTCAAACTGAGCACTATCCAGTAGCAGCTGGAAAAGGGCCTTGGGATTGTATTTGGAGTCACTGAGTACTTGATCTTTAATCTGCCGCAGTCGCTTGTTGTTTGGATCATACACTATGAAAGAGCAAGACAGAAAGATACTCTACTACCCAACATGAAAGCGAGCATTGGGTACAATACAAACAATAAATAATAATCCTCAAAATAACATTTCAAAGTGCATTATGAGCAGAAGACCTAATTTAATTTCTCATCCAAAGGATGAAGGCTCCGACAATGCAACTCTTTCCTCCACTGAAATGCTCTGGAATGTCAGCCATGTGGCTTGAACCCACAATCTTTTGACCCAGAGGTAAGAGTACCACCATCTTAGCCAGATCTATAATCGCTGAGTAGGACAAAGACTCATTCCATGAACAGAATGGTAATAGTCAAGGGCAATGTTGAATGACAACTGAATCATCAGCAATAAATGAAACAAAGAGAATTTTGGATTGTATTGCCTAATCTGTTGCATTTGGCAGACATCTGAACTGGAAATGGTTCCATTTCCCAGTTCTGATGCTGTTTCACTAAAGGCAGCTGCTTTTCCCCAGGATAATAAAGATCTATTTTGTTACTGTTTACTGTGCTGAAGAATCAATATAGATTATGAGCTGAAGACCTGATGTGGGGCCTGAATTTACAACTCCTGACCAAAAGGCAAGACCAACACCTCCCGCAACTGCACACTGTGCTCTGGTCAACCTGAGCAAGCAACCTGCCGGTAGGATTGCGAACAATGGAAGCTATTCCCAAATTATAACCAAAGCAAATTTGTCAGCTCATTCCCAAGGACTCTTAACTTTCAATCAGAAAGTTGTGGGGAGGTCTCAGGTCATGACTTGTGAAGTGTGCCATGGGATCTGTTCAGGCAGACGTTAAAGATCCCATAGTACAATTCAAAAAGAGGACAGTGTTTCTTCTGGTGACCTGGTTGACAATCCTCCAGATAAATTTGTCATTCATTTCATGACAGCTTGTAAGACCTTGGTGTGCAAAGTGTGTGCTGTTCAGGCAGAAGTTAAATATCCCATAGTACAATTCAAAAAGTTTGTCTACAAAGTACACAGTAACTACACTTGACAGTGATTATCCTAATTAGGAGGTTTTGACATGAGAGGCACTGTATAGTCAAATGTGTTGATTATTTATTATTACCCGATTCTGCAGTGTGAAGCATCAGCCAGCGAATAGTCACATTGCAGTCTCTCAAACAGTTTAATAGTTTGGGAATGTGGTCCAACACGTACTCCTCTCTCAAGAAGCCCTCCTTTAGAAACTGCTGCTCCTGCAGTCGTAGACGCTCAACACTCGCACCATATCGACCCGCCTGCAAAACACAACCCGGAATTCAACACACAAGATCACTAGACACTATATTTTGAGTATAAAATACTGTCCATTTACAACAAGGGTGGCCCATCCTTAAAAGATCATACCTGCTCCTTGATGTTTGACTGCTCCAGTGTATAATTAAGGGCTGTCTTTGCTGCTTTGTATGGTTCCCAAGCCTCTATCAGGTTTACCGTGATCCCCATATAAATACTGATCACCTGATGTGAAAGAGGAAACAGCTGGTAACTTTTGTTGAAATATCTTTTATTTACACGTCCAAACTCATCTACACCAAGCAACATGTTATACCATTGCATGAAGGAAGACTCAAATAGGGGTCCTCCAGATCACAAGGTCAGTTCAGATGAAGAATGCACTTTCATTTGATTTCATCCTTCCAGACAAAGACCTTGATCGGAAAAAAAACTAATTATAATGGTATGAGGAATGAACTGGCCAAAGTATATTGGAGGAAAAAATTGGCAAACAAAGAAAGAGCAACAACAGAAGATTAAGCACAAGATAGAAAAGGTGCAGGAGAAATGTATTCCATTAAGAAGTAAGGGAAAATTAATTAATAATGGGAGGTATGGATGAATAAGGAGGTAAAACCAAAACTGCATAGTAGGATACTTGAGGGAGTAAGGTATGGGTGAAAACTTGTGTGGAGTACAAACACTGGCACAGACTGGTTGAATTTTTAATGAAACAAAACTGCAGTGATTTTCTCGAAATAATCTGCCCAAAGCAAACTGAATACAAGTCACAAAAGCAGTATTAATGCATTTTTCTCCTTTATGATCTGATATTAGTCCACACCGACAGACGAATTGTCAGTGTAAAGTAACCAGTGTTGCTTACCCAGTTGTCAGGAAAGTACTTGTCGACTATCTCCCTCATCTTGGCCTGTTGGGTGTGAAGAATGGATGGTTCGAAGTACAGGATAACATAGAGCATGCCAGCCTGAGTGGCAAGGGCAGTGCTCCGGTGTTCCGGCAGAGGATAGGCTGACACCTAACAGAAACAAACAAAATAGTCACTTGAGTAATGTCAGTCACAAGGTTCACTTTTCATGCAATCTGCAGAAATGAGCAAATGATTATAATAATCCTTACATTTGATATAGCGCCTTTCACATCAGGAGGTTGTGTCAGAGCGCTTCACATAACATAATGATTGATACCAGAAGTCATTTCTCTTTTCATAGATTGCCTCTCAGCTATGTCCCTATCTTTGCAGACTTCTCCATAATATAAGGTGAATTCAGCTTTAGTTTATCCAAAATAGTTCAATACCCTACGAAGGTCAACATCAATAACTTCTCCAAAACTATACCCGAATGTCATGAAACGCATTACATCAAATGCAGATTATTATTATTATCGCAAATAGCTCAGTATCTTATAACTTGTCACTAACCCAAAGTAAGGAAAGGAAAAAGGAAGAGGCTACTGACAAAAATAAAAAAATATATAAAGTAGTTTCCATCAACTGCCACCATCCGTGGAGTCTTGCAGCTCAGTGGTTAGAGCACTCGCTTTGCAAGTGAGAGACCTGAGTTCAATTCCAGACAGGGCGAAACCTTGGGCAAGTTTCCTTACTCCACACGCCTAATAATAATCCCTCCAAAACCAAAAACAATAATAAATTGGTCATTTTCAATCTACGACTGTTTGTGGGACATTGCTGTGCGCAATTGGCTGCCGGGTTCGCCCACAAATATACAGTCAATTCACTTTACAGTGTGTTCTGTGAAGTGCTTTGGGACATCCTCCCGAAGTGAAAAGCGCTATATCAAATGCAAGGATTATTATTATTATCCATTGCAGATATATGTAATTTTACTCACCTGATTATAAATGTCATCTGATCGGAGTCGGCCAACCACCATGCTGATAAATACTGTGCTGATGGGGACCCTTTGAAAATAGCTCTCCGGATAGTTTGGAGGCCGCTTTGCACCTGTCTGACTTGAGTAACCAGTGCTACGCAGCAGCTTGCAAATATCATCCAGATTGGAGTCAGAAGAAGAGCGAGCAGCACTAAAGACATAAGATTTAAATAGAAGGTACAATAGGGTGTTTGTGAGCAACGGATTAAAAAAAAGAGACCAAATCTATATCTAGATCACTCTCTAATAACTGGATAAATATACGGTAGACTGCTTTCACTGCATGATAGTCAGGTATCTTCTAAATTACTTTCTGCACTACGCACACAGAATGTCATCTTACAAAACTAACGTGAAGTGTGCGTAGTGCAGAACCTCACTAATCTACTCACTAGCTAAGGTTATCTGCACAGCGTGGAAGCACCCTTGTATCCGTGGGGCACACAAATTATAAGCGAACCCATGTTATAACAGGGTCCAATGTAGCTATCATTAAACAATCAGGAGAGTAGGTTTCAAAACTGCACTGAGAGCGCTCTTAGAGCAGGTCATCTACCCACTCCCAGTAAAAAGGAAGCCACAGTAGACCGAAAATCCCCGAAAAAAAAGTTTCAAGAAAGGACCCAACAGAGTATAATACAGAGTATTATAATGGGATTCCTGAATAAGGAATCAGCCCAGGATCTCATTTCGTTAACCAGAAGTACATTGTGCAAATTCATGGGAATCCTGCAAAGTTTTTGTGTCAGACTTTCAGTTTCTTTGTTATGGAAAATTAGAGCTAATGAGACGGAACAAAACAGATTCAGGTTTGTGACACATCCACAAGTTTAGGTGACATTGATGCGCTTCCCGAACTTTTTGCTCATGGTTTGCCTTGTCATCTGAACTCAATCGGTTCTCCTTTTGCAAAACATCCCACGTCGTACATGGAACTGAACCTCAGCAGGTAGGATTTTTGCCGAGTGTACTTTACCTGTATCTGTAGTAAGAAACTAGCATCCTTTCTCTAACCTCCCCTTCAATCTTGTGGTCAATAACCAGCAGCATGACTCCATACAAGTACAAGGCTTCACACTGAATAAAGACATCAACACAGTATGATCAGTTGTAGAAAATACAATTCATGATTAATATATAGCAACAACAATGAAGCTGTGACAATTAAAACAGTTTTGATTGTAAAATCTTATGTTTGAGGGAAAGTTAGTGACCTGGGAAATAGAGCACCATTGCACTATCTGTCTGGTATTTTCAACCACGTTGGCAATAAATTGCCAACCTAACTCATTCAGTTCATGTTTTTCAACAATAACTGGAAACCAGGAATTACAGATCTGAATTAGTCCATTTGATAAGGTCCATCTTTCTAGAGAGGTGCAAACCTACATACACCACACACAGATGTGAAGGCATATCTAGCACACAGACATTGACAAACATTGGTCTGAAATTCCACCCAGTCGTAGCCTTTAATACCATTTTGTCTTAAAATATACAATCGTGCAAAAGTGTGTGAAATTCTTAAATTCAACCATATTCTGAAAACGGATCTTTTTTTCAAAAGAAACTTGGAAAACTTGCCCGTTATTTTAAATTTGAATTTATTGCATTGGTAAAGATCCGAAACAGCACAGGAGAATAAGATAGCTGGAAGATCACAACTGGATATGGTTTTTGTTTTGTAAATCTTAGTTTTATGTAGAATTTACAGCATGGAAACAGGCCATTTAGCCCACGCCAGCTCAGGAACCTCGGTGCAGTGTACAACAAATAAAAGCTTGTCAGTCTAGCTCACGGATCCATGTTTCATGGTACACAAGGCATTCTGTGCTGTGGGCCAATATCCACTACACCCTAGATTGAGACAGCAAATCCAATTCACAAAGGATCCTTGTTTCAAATGATCTTCTATTACAAATAACAAGGCTTTCATCCCATAAATCCAGACTAGCGTTGTGTCCAGGTCAGTGACATAATTCACTTGCGTCTCAGCAAGAAGATACTTTCTTCTCCTTCTCTCCCCTGCCATTACCCCAAAAAAACTAAATTCCTCAAACCATCATTACCAACAGTAACCTACAAGAAGTTGCTTTCCATCTTCATTTAACAGGACTGTTTCAAGAGTCTGCTGAATGTATACACCCTCATTGAGATCCTCAAGGAACCTGAAAGATGCAAATCATCCAGGAGATGCAAATTAGACCAGCTTAAAAAATGATCTTGACAAGTAAAACAAAGTAACTGTAGAACAGGTGGAATCAGAGCACTGTAAACATACTTCAGGATGGCTTTCTCAGCTGTGAGATAGCAGTTACGGTCTAGCTCCACATCAGGATATGTGCCTAGTTACAGTCTAGGCTGACACTCCTGTGCACCACTAGGAAACTATTTGAAAAAGAGAAGGGAGTTCTTTGTCTGAAGGCCAGGCCAACCACTCTCCAGATTTATCGTTCGTTCATTTCCCAACTCTCCTGGACCTTGTGGTCACAAATTGCTGCCGTTTTTGCGCTGCGTTTTGCCATACAAAACCAGTCATCACACTCGACAGCAATTACTTGAGAAGCATTTTGAGGAGCTTCAACATTAATAATTAATACATTTGCAAGTTTATCATGTGACGCAGATTTATACAGAGTTGAGGAGGAACTGACTGGGTCCTCCAATAGCAGAGTACAGACAATTCAAACAACGAGCAGTTTTCTCATCTGCATATCAGTTTCACTCACAATTTCAGCTTAATAAAATCAGCATGCGAGACCACAAATCCGCAGAAACAAGTAACAATCTGTTTGCACTTTTACCTGTTCAGATCCAAAATGTACTTGTGAACACTTTCAAAGGCGAGGTAGAACCGAGTCAAAATTTCAATGTGATTTTCACGAAATTCTTCATCCAAATCCTGAAGATCTGGTTTAGACTCCAACTTACCCTCATAGTATTCAGGACCCTGAAGCAAATAATTTCATTGTTATTGTTTTTTGTTGCAGGGAGGGAGAAATAAAAGCCAATTTTTTTAAATGACAGTAATGTAAAATTCTCATCACCCTCATCTGCAATTCAATTATTCATTCTTGAATATTTATATTCTCTGGAACTGCCTCCCAGAGTCTGTACAACTTGTTCCCTCCATCCCCGACTTCAAGGGAAATCTCAAAATATACCTCTTCAACTGTGCTTTTGGTCATCTTTCTCCTCCTCACCTCCTCATCTCCCACCCCTAGCTCGGGTACCCAGCCAGCACCGTTAATGTGCTTTGGGACATCCTCAAGATGTGAAAGGCCCAATATAAATGCAAATTGCATTGAATTATATCGGGATAGTTATAGTACAAATCTCGAACTACGACTATTCTGGTGTAACCAGTAACCTGCAGGATTGGGCGATAGGGAATATTAGAACAGTACAATGAGCTACAGGAGCATTTCTCGCTCAAGATCCCCTCACACCCAAACTTGGGTAAAACTCTCATGCAAGATTTTGTTACTTATCCAATGTCTCCGCAGGTGGCTGGGGGGGGCTCAGCCTCTCTCGCCATCCCAATCTTTCTAACTCACCTCTTTAAGGAGAGTTGGGAGTGGAAAGCTCTGAGGAGGACCACAGCTAGTTCTCAGCCGCAAGCCATGGCACCCGCTGAACAAAACCTAGTTTCAGGGAACCAACCCTTAAACTGATTTTGTTCCACCCCAACCACCCTCCCCAAATAATATATATTTTCACCTGTCGCTTATGCTGCTCTCTGATATGGTTCTTCTTATGGGGATGCACTTCACAGTTACTCAATGTTATAAGCAGGATCGGCTCCACTTCAGCACAAAATTAGTTTGATCCACAATATTACTTTACTGGCAATATGTCCCCAAATATCATCTCATTCAGACAAATTACCACAAACAGAATTAAACAATTATATAGTTTTCCATGCAAGCGATTGTTGGTTTCTGAGGAAGTGGGTTCTCACAATTTCCTTAATGCTCAACCCATGATCTGCCATGACTTATACTCTGGCAAAACAGGCCAAGGCAAGATAGGAAAACACTATCTTCTTCCAAGTTTGGAGACACTTCCAAGGATGAAGGGGATGCAGCACAGGTTCACCAGAATGTTACCAGGCCTAAAAGGGTTAAGTTATGAGGAAAAGCTGTGTAAACCTGGATTGTATTCCCTTGAGTTTAGAAGGTTCACGGGTGATTTGATTGAAGTGTTTAAGATGATAAAGGGATTCAATAAGATAGATATACAGAAGCTATTTCCTCGAGTGGGAGAATCCAAAACAAGGAGGTATAGTCTTAAAATAAGAATCAGGTCATTTAAGAGTGAAACCAGGAAGCATTTTTTCACTTAAAGGGTGGTAGAAATCTGGAATTCTCTCCCCCAAAAGGCCGTGGATGCTGGATCCATCCACTCCTTCAAGACTGAGGTTGATAGGTTTTTGGTAGGTCAGAGTTTTAAGAGATATGGGGAGAAAGCGGGAAATTGGAATTGAAAGGATTAGTTGAGGTGCAGATCAGCCATGTTCTAATTAAATGGCAGAACAGGCTTGAAGGGCTGAATGGCCTCCTCCTATTGCTATGTTCCTATGAGCTAAAATTGTGAGCAATGTAACAAAAAGAGGTCTGTGCAACACACTCTATACCACTGTACAGTGTACTTGTTACACTCCAAGATTAATGAGGCAGCCGGCACTGCATCTCTTGTGCAAAGCATTTTCATTAAGCATCAAAGCCTTGTGAAATCCATTCACATCATCATTTATTTCCTGCAAGGCTCCCAGGAGGAAACTTTCAGTTCACGTGCCAGCCTGCCTCCGTTCTCGCCTCTGAGGCAAGGGGTTGTGGGTTCAAGTCTACATCAGAACTTTAAACTTACACTCCGACACTCCACAGCAATGCTGCAAGAGCCGAGCCGGAGGTTGGTACCTTTGGATTAGACATTAAACCACAATCCCCACTGGCTGTTCAGGTGGATGTTAAAGATCCCACGGCACTGCTTGAAAAGAAAAGGGAGTTTCTCCCAGTGTCTTGGCCAGTAACCCCCAGATACAAGCGGTCATTTATTTCCAGGTTGTTTAACGCACACTATTGTGTGAACATTAGCTGTTCAAGCCAACAGTCTAAAATTGTAGCACAAGTTCTCTGTTATTCTCACTGTGGGCTGGAGATAAACTAAGTTCTGTTCAGGTGCAGCGGTGTAGAAGTTGGCAACTAAAAACCAATTAGTGAAGAGCAGTCACCAGGTTCAACCCTTGAGCTTGAAAGTACTAAAACAAAGTTGGTCTCACGGTGTCTGATCTACTACAGCCAAGAAAACTCTGCCAGGACTGACTGTCCTGTGCTCTCTGAGCCTCAGCCATGCTGTGTGCAGGGCAACAGGAGAGTCCCTGCAGAGCAGAGCAGCTCTGCAGCTCAGTGGTTAGAGCACTCGCTTTGCAAATGAGAGACCTGAGTTCAGAGGGCGAAACCTCGGGCAAGTTTCCTTACTCCACACAGAGCCTAATAATAATCCCTCCAAAACCAAAAACAATAATAAATTGGTCATTTTCCATCTACGACTGTTTGTGGGACATTGCTGTGCGCAATTGGCTGCCGCGTTCGCCCACAAATATACAGTCAATTCACTTTACAGTGTGTTCTGTGAAGCGCTTTGGGACGTCCTCCCGACGTGAAAAGCGCTATATCAAATGCAAGGATTATTATTATTATTAAGAGGTGCGGAGTGAGTGACAGTGAACCCCAGGAGCAGCGAGTGAGCAGCACAGCAACACCCCAGAGGGTCAATACCTTTGCACTCACAGCAAATAACAGCAGCAGCAGCACATCAGTGGAGCAGTGAGCACGTCCCCCACCCACCCACCCGCTCACCTTGAAGTAGCTGAAGTCGCAGATGATGTCTCCGAACCTGTGCTGCTCAGCCTTGTCCCGGAGCCGGTAAACACTGGGCACGAACTCGGAAAGGCGCAGGAGCTCCGCTATGATGGCGTTACCCCGGGACACGATCCTGAGGATCGCCTGCCCACACAGGTTGTTGTCGGCCAGGAAATCCACCATGATGACCGGGAGAGAGAGAGAGGGGGAGAGAGTACTGCTGCCAACCCCCCCACACACCCCCAAATGCAATCCGACACACTAAACACCCTTTCTGCAAACAACCCCAGACACACGCAAAGCTAAAGCAGGTATTGCATTGCCTCTGAATCGTGTGCCATTCCTTCCCTGCAGCTCCTTCCTCTTCCAGCTCCTCCCTCTCTCTCTCTTCAGTCAGTCTCTCTCCCTCTCTCTCCCTCTCAGTCAAACTCACTTCCCTCTCTGCATCCTTTTAATTGCAAAATAATAACTAAAAGTAAATCAACCTTTTCTCCCCTCCCACACACACAGATTTTATATATATATATATGTATATATTATATATTGCATAGATGTGTCTCCTCCCCCAGGTTTGCAGCTCAGCCCTTCCTCCTCTCCAGTGTTGATCATATGACTCCTTCCTGTCACCCCAGCATGTGACCACCATGGCTAATGCTGAGCTTGCAGGGCGAGCAGAGCAGGGCAGGGCAGCCTGGGGGTGGGGGGGTGACAGGCTCAGTGCAAAACCTCACTCACTCGCTTTTGGTTTAAGCTGTACAGTATTTCGCTCACTCAGGCTGTTCCTCCCTCTCTTTCTCTCTCTCTCTAAAAACAAATACACTGGAGGAAATATATGCATATATTTTTGTTTTAAAAAAAGCGCCATCACACAGAACGGGGAAATAACTTGCGAAGGTTGGAAATGTGAAATAAAACAAGAGGAATGAGTGACTCGGACACGGAGTGACTGTGAGTGACACGGAGTGACTGTGAGTGGCACGGAGTGACTGAGTGAATGTGAGTGACATGGAGTGACTGAGTGACACGGAGTGACTGAGTGACATGGAATGACTGAGTGACTTGGAGTGACTGAGTGACACTGAGTGACTGTGAGTGACTGAGTGAATGACACTCATTTCAACTACTCAAACCCCCTCCCACTGGTCTTTCCTGCTCCACTATTCACAAGATTAAACTAATTCAAAACTCCGCCGCTCGCACTCTCACCCGCATTAAACTCCATTGGCTCCCTGTCACAGAGCAGATCGATTTCAAGATCCTCACTCTTGTATTTAAATCCCTTCACACCCTGGCACCCTCTATATCTCCAACCTGCTCTCTCCCTAAACTACTACCCGCTGCTTCCTCTCGACTGGCCCCGGCCGCCTCCTTGTCCCCCATCCCACCATTGGTGGCTGTGCTTTCAGCCACGATGCCCCGAACCTGTGGAACTCTCTTCTTCAATGCCTTTGCCTTGCTCCCTCTCTCCATTTTCAGGTTGCACCTGAAGACCTTGCACTTCAACCGTGGCTACGGTCACCTTCCCCCTCGCCCTGGCTCGGCATCAGATTCCGCCACTGTTAAGCGTTTTGAGACGCATCCGGTGTGAAGGACGCTATATCAACGCAAGTTGTTGTTGTTGACTCTGCATGAGTGACACTGAGTGACTCTGAGTGAGTGCATTTAATAATAATAATAATAATAATCCTTGCATTTGATATAGCGCTTTTCACGTCGGGAGGACGTCCCAAAGCGCTTCACAGAACACACTAAAGTGAATTGACTGTATATTTGTGGGCGAACGCGGCAGCCAATTGCGCACAGCAATGTCCCACAAACAGTCGTAGATTGAAAATGACCAATTTAATTATTGTTTTTGTTTTTTTGGAGGGATTATTATTAGGCTCTGTGTGGAGTAAGGAAACTTGCCCAAGGTTTCGCCCTCTGCCTGGAATTGAACTCAGGTCTCTCACTTGCAAAGCGAGTGCTCTAACCACTGAGCTACAGGACTAGTGATACTGTAAGTCATTTAAGAGACTGCACCGAATGATATTGAGTGTTTCTTGGAGTGAGTACCGAGTTACTGCACTGTTTAACACTGTAAGTAACTGCACTGAGTGGTAATGCACTGAGTGAGTGACATTGAGTGACAGACTCGGTGACAGTGACACAGGGAGCGGCAGTGACACAGTGAGTGACAGTGACACAGTGAGTGACAGTGACACAGTGAGTGACAGTGACAGACTTACTCCACACGGCTGATAATAATCCTTCAAGAAAAAAAAACAATAATAAATTGGTCACTTCAATCCACGACTTCAATCCACGACACTGCTGTGCACAATTTGGCTGTCGCATTTCGCCCACAAATATACAGTCAATTCACTTTACAGTCTATTCTGTGAAGCGCTTTGAGATGTCCAGAAGACATGAAAAGTGCTATATCAAATGCAAGGATTATTATTATTATTAGACTCAGTGACAGTGACAGTCTCGGTGACAGTGACACAGTGAGTAACAGTGACACAGTGACACAGATAGTGACAGTGACACAGTGAGTGATAGTGACACAGTGAGTGATAGTGACACAGTGAGTGGCAGTGATAGTGACACAGTGACTGACTCAATGACAGTGACAGACTCAGTGACAGACTCAGTGACAGTGACACAGTGAGTGACAGTAACAGTGACACAGTGAGTGGCAGTGACACAGCGACTGACTCAGTTTCAGTGACACAGTAAGTGGTAGTGACAGTGACACAGTGAGTGACAGTGACAGTAACAGTGAGTGACAATGACAGTGCTTGACTCAGTGACAATGACACTCAGTGACAGTGACACAGTGAGTGGCAGTGACTCAGTGAGTGGCAGTGACAGTGACACAGTGAGTGGCAGTGACACAGTGAGTAGCAGTGACACAGTGAGTGACAGTGACACAGTGAGTGACAGTGACACAGTGAGTAACCGTGACAGTGACACTCTGAGTGGCAGTGATACAGTGAGTGGCAGTGACACAGCGACTGACTCAGTTTCAGTGACACAGTAAGTGGTAGTGACAGGGACACAGTGAGTGACAGTGACACAGTGAGTGACAATGACAGTGCTTGACTCAGTGACAATGACAGACTCAGTGACAGTGACACAGTGAGTGGCAGTGACACAGTGAGTAGCAGTGACACAGTGAGTGACAGTGACACTGTGAGTGGCAGTGATACAGTGAGTGGCAGTGACACAGCGACTGACTCAGTTTCAGTGACACAGTAAGTGATAGTGACAGTGACATAGTGAGTGACAGTGACTGACTCAGTGGCAGTGACTGACACAGTGATAGTGACACAGTGACAGTGAGTGACAGTGACCACCACCAACCGGCTCCTCTGCGCTCCCCGCCAGGTCTCGCCGATTCTTTCCTCTGATTCTCTGTGCAAGAAAAAGCTGGACTTCCTTGAATCCAAAGTTGAGGGAATCCGCTCAGCTGCCACTGCCCCCCACCCCCCAACTTCCACCCCCTCCCTATCCCCACCCCGCACTCCGACAATTACCCATCCCTCCTTCCACACCTTTGAACTGTCAACCCCTCCTCTGCCTTCACCACCATATCCTCCGTGCAGCCCACCACCTGCTCCCTGGACCCCATCCCTCTCCTTAAATCCCAGCTCCACCTCCTTTCCCCACTACTCACCAACATCATCAACCTCTCCCTGTCATCAGGCACTGTTCCTTCCCCCCCCTCAAAACAGCCATTATCACCCCCACCTTGAAGAAACGTTCCCTTGACCCATCAGAGCTATCCAGCAATCAGTCCATCTCAAACCTCCCCTTCCTATCCAAAGTCCTTGAGAGAGCCATTGCCTCCCAGCTTCGCTCTTTCCTCTCCTCTCACTCCCCCCCTCCAATTGGGTTTCCGTGCTGCCCACAGCATGGAAACTGCTCTGGTCAAGGTCACAAATGACATCCTGACCATGTGTGTCCAGGGTTCCGTCTGTCTCCTCGTCCTCCTCGACCTCTCCACTGCCTTCGACACTGTCGACCACTTAATCCTCCTCCACCGCCTCTCCTCCCAGCTCAACCTTCAAGGTTCTGTCCTGGACTGGTTCAGGTTCTACCTTTCACACTGCCTCCACTTTGTCGCGGCAAACAGTTTCTGCTCCAGCCCCCACACCGTCTTGTGCGGTGTTCCTCAGGGTTCTGTCCTCAGTCCCCTCCTCTTCACCCTCTACATACTCCCCCTTGGTGACAAAATCTGCAGACATGGGATAAATTTTCACATGTATGCGGATGACACCCAACTCTATCTCTCTGCCTCCACCCTGAACTCCAGGACTACTGGCGTCCTGACCGACTGCCTGTCTGACATCAAGTCCTGGACAACTTTCTCCAACTCAACGTCAGCAAGACCGAAGCCCTCCTTATTGGCTCGAGCACTGCAGCATCAGCCTCCACGGCTGCACACTCAACCTCACTAAGCCAGTCAGGAACCTGGGTATCTTGTTTGACCCTGAACTGTCTTTTCTCCCCCACATCCGCGCCATGACCGGCACTGCCTACCACCACCTCCGCAATATTGCCAGACTCCGCCACTGCCTCACCCCTCAGGCTGCCGAAACCCTCACCCATTCATTTGTCACATCAAGGCTCGATTATGGGAAATCCTTCCTCATCGGCCTTCCCAACTCTTCCCTTCACAAGCTGCAGATCATCCAAAACTCTGCAGCTCGTGTACTCTCACGCACCAGGCTCCGTGACCCCATCACTCCCACCCTCGCCCGACTCCACTGGCTCCCCATCCCCCAGAGGATCGAGTTCAAGATCCTCGTCCTCACTTTCAAGGCCATCCATGGCCTTGTCCCCTCCTACCTCTCTGACCTGCTGACTCCCTACCAACCTGCCCGCTCCCTCCGTTCAGTGGGCTCCGGCCCTCTCCATGTCTCCCACCCGACCTGCCCCACCATCGGTGGCCGAGCTTTCAGCCTCTCTGCCCCCACACTCTGGAACTCCATCCCACAGTCCCTTTGCCTCGCTTCCTCCTTTGCCTCCTTCAAGGCCGGTCTCAAGACCCTTCTCTTCGATTGTGCCTTTGGTTGCCCCCCCACTTCTCTGCCTTCCCTCACCCCTACACCACCCCTCTCCCATGCTCGGGCCCCGACACCTGACTGTTCAGTGCTTTGGGACGTCCTCCAGACGTGAAAGGCGCTCTATAACTGTAATTTTGTTGTTGTTGTTGTTACAATCGGCAACGGAGATAATAAGGATTGAAGAAGTGACAAAAATAAATATGCAAAACATGGAAAGAGACACAGAAATGGAACTCTAAATGTAATTTTGTTGTTGTTGTGACACAGTGAGTGACAGTGACACAGTGAGTGACAATGACAGTGACGCAGTGAATGACAGTGAGTGGCAGTGATTGACTCAGTGATAGTGACACAATGAGTGACAGTGACTGACACAATGACAGTGACACAGTGACTGACATAGTGACAGTGACACAGTGAGTAACAGTGACAGTGACATAGTGAGTGACAGTGAGTGGCAGTGATTGACTCAGTGATAGTGGCACAGTGAGTGGCAGTGACCGACTCAGTGGCAATGGCACAGTGAGTGGTAGTGACTGACTCAGTGGCAGTGGCACAGTGAGTGGCAGTGACTGACTCAGTGGCAGTGAGTGGCAGTGACCGACTCAGTGGCAATGGCACAGTGAGTGGCAGTGACTGACTCAGTGGCAGTGGCACAGTGAGTGGTAGTGACTGACTCAGTGGCAGTGGCACAGTGAGTGGCAGTGACTGACTCAGTGGCAGTGAGTGGCAGTGACCAACTCAGTGGCAATGGCACAGTGAGTGGCAGTGACTGACTCAGTGGCAGTGGCACAGTGAGTGGTAGTGACTGACTCAGTGGCAGTGGCACAGTGAGTGGTAGTGACTGACTCAGTGGCAGTGGCACAGTGAGTGGCAGTGACTGACTCAGTGGCAGTGAGTGGCAGTGACCAACTCAGTGGCAATGGCACAGTGAGTGGCAGTGACTGACTCAGTGGCAGTGGCACAGTGAGTGGCAGTGACTGACTCAGTGGCAGTGGCACAGTGAGTGGCAGTGACTGACTCAGTGGCAGTGGCACAGTGAGTGGCAGTGACTGACTCAGTGGCAGTGGCACAGTGAGTGGCAGTGACTGACTCAGTGGCAGTGGCACAGTGAGTGGCAGTGACTGACTCTCTGATCCGCTCTCTGAGCGAGCGACGGGAGACTCTCTGTGACGTCGCATCATACCAGCGGGGGCGGGACTGGCGCCGCGTTCGGGCCGCTCTGGTTGGCCGAGCCCGGGATAGCGTGAGCTCTGCTCACCCACTCGGCCGCCTCCCGATTGGCCGGGCGGCAGGAGGCGGGGCGGGGCTGCGGCTGTCTGTGTTCCCTCATTAACATCTCATTTAAATAGAGGGCGGCAGGCGGGGCAGAGGGAGAGCAGCAGCAGCAGCCTGTATCCCAGCCTCCTGTATCCCAGCCTGGTACAGCACAGCCTCCTGTATCCCAGCCTGGTACAGCACAGCCTCCTGTATCCCAGCCTGGTACAGCACAGCCTCCTGTATCCCAGCCTGGCCAGCACTGCCCTGCACTGCCTCCTGTATCCCAGCCTGGCCAGCACTGCCCTGCACTGCCTCCTGTATCCCAGCCTGGCACAGCACTGCCCTGCACTGCCTCCTGTATCCCAGCCTGGCACTGCACTGCCCTGCACTGCCTCCTGTATCCCAGCCTGGCACAGCACTGCACTGCACAGAGCAAACAGGTACCATTATACACCATCTCGGGCTCCTTTATTTAAAATAAAAATAAATAAGGAAAATCCTCTCAAGCCCTTCCGATTGTGATGCTCCAGAGGACAGTATTTTTAAACGTGGGATTGAGATGAATTCCTGAAGGGTACCTCTGTGTGGCAGAGAGAGGGGGGGATTAATTGTAGGGGTATTAATAGGGAGGGAGGGGGCAGTGGTGGGGTGGGGGAGGGGGGTCTGTATAGCTTCTTTATAGCTGGGTAAAGAGAACTGCTATTTACTGTATGTACATCTCTCGCTGTTTGAATGATCTCAGTAACCACCTTGACAGGATTTTTATTCTCTCTCTCTCGTCTCTGATTCTCTCTTTCTCTCCTCGCAGTGACACGGCGATCGGTTGGGGATAAGTAACGTGAAGAAGATTGTTTTAAGAAAAAGACGACCGTGGGGTGGTGGGGAGGGGTGGGGGGGGGGGGGGAGGGGGGAGGGCGAACACAGAGAGAACATCTCAGTCAAGAAAGCATAGGAATTCATCAAGAAAAAAACTAACGTTTTATTTGGTGCAGTAAAGTAGCTTTTTTTTTAAAAAAAAAGGAAGGTTAGACCCAGTGTTGGAATTTTAGTTCATTTTAATCGCAGCTCGGTTAAATCTAGGGAAGGATTTGAAAAATGTGGACTTTCCTTGGAATCGCTACTTTTACGTACGTGTATAAGAAATGCGATGACTTGCTGAGTGTGAGCTATGCGAACAAGGAGCTGTTGGTGGCATTCCTGGCTTTTTTGACGCTGGGATTGATCCTGTCCTATCGCCATCGCTATGGGCAGGGGCAAGAGAAAGAGCAACCCTCCAGACTGGGGTTCATCTCCCAGCTCATCTCGGCCCTGCCCCTGGTCAGATCTCTTCTCAGAGGGACTGCAAACCCAAACTCAGCCTCCAACTGCACCGAGCCAGGCAAAGCACCGCAGGTAGGAACAGCCAGGTTTGTTTATTGTAGAAAAGGTGGGGGGAGGGGGGGAGGAGACGAACATTTGTGTCAAAATGAAGTTATCTGTGACTGTTGGGCAATGTTACACAATTCTGATATTGATTAGGTTTACACATCATAAAATATGTATACAGCAATATGTACTTAACCAACCTGCCATCACTTTGTCTCCACAAATGTTCATTCCTCCCGCCCCGACCGGGTCACCTGCAGGGTACCCCAAGGCTCCATCTTTGGTCACCTTTTTTTCCTCATTTCATGCTCCCTCTCGAGGATGTCATCCGCAGACACGAGGGAAACTTTCACATGTATGCAAATGACACCCAAAACTCCAGGACCGCTGATGTTCTGTCAGCTTGTCTGTTAGACATCAGGGCCTGGATGGGCACAGACTTCCTGCAGCTGAACGTTGACAAGATGGAAGCCATACTTCATGGCTCCTCATCAACGTCTTCTCTTGTAGCTCTGACCTCCTCAACTTCCCGACCTTTCGCTAAGTCTTACTTGAACCTGCGCATAGCCTGGGCGTCAGGTTTGACCCACAGCTATCCTTCTTCCCCCATATCCAGTCCCTAACCACGACAGCTTTCCTCCATCTCCACCACATTGCCCGCCTCCTACTGTACTTCACCCCCATCACAGCCGAAACACTTGTCACATCTTCTTCACCTCCCACCTCAACTACAATTCCCTCCTCTCTGGTCTCCCCAACTCCACTACCCACAAACTACAACTGATTCAGAACTCCGAAGCCCAAATATTCAGCAACTTGCATTTATATAGTGCCCTCACACAGGATAGCATCCCAGAGTGCTACTCATCCACACTAAACTCTGTACACCATCACACTCGTCCTTGCTGGCTACCTATCAAGATCCTCTCACTTGTCTACAAATGCCTACACAGCCTGGCCCTCCCTATCTAACCTGCTTTCTCCCCACTCCACTACCCACTGCCTCCGCTTGTGCTTGTCCTTCTTCCCTTCTGCTCCACCATCGGTGGCCACACTTCCAGCCACTATGCCCTGAAACTTTGGAACTCTCTCCCCCAATCCTTCCACCTTGCCCCATCCTTCCCCTCTTTTGGATCATGACTGAAGATCTTCTGCCTTGACTATGTTCATGATCACCTCCTCCCTCCCCCTGACTGGGCTTCGTGAGTTGCACTGAGAAGCTGCCCCACCTGAAGGGCGTTATATAAATACAAGTAATTGTTATGTAGGATACATTAATTTGATCAGAGCTATCTCTTAATATATGTATTCTCTTACTAGAATAACTCAACATAAAAATAGCATCATAATTTAGGGAAATTCAATATTCTTGCATTTTTTTGAACAAGCTAAAGGTCATTGGAATTGTTTTAGGAAACCGAGTGATGCTGCAACGGAAAAACAGTTGGGTGGGTATTCTGGACAGACGAGATCAAATAGGCCAAACAGCCTGCTTCAACTGAACTTCTATTGAATGTTCTTGTGACATAAGGAATGGTAGTGTTATATTGATTACATTTGAAATATAGTTTATAGATGGAATACCATTTTAAATAATAAAGGTCAGCAACTAATTATATTAGAGTTGTCATAGCATACTATGTGATTAATTATTAAAAAATATTTTGTTGCTTAGATATTCACAAGTTCTAGTCTGCCTCAAATGATTCAGATGAGATTTAATAATAATAATCCTTGTATTTTATATAGCATCTTTCAAGTCGGAAGAACATCCTTACAAGTTCACAGCAGTGCTTCAAAGGATTTAGTGTAAACTGTAGTGTCTGTGTATTTTGTTGGTGAATGTGGCAGTCAATTTGGACACAGCAATGCCTCACAAGTGAATGACCAATTTTATTTGCAAGATTATTGGCTAGGACACCAGGAGAAACTCCCTTCTCTTTACAATTTGGCACAGAGCTATGTTTATGAAAATGTTCAGTTTTATTCAAAGCAAAATCGCTAATAAAATCAATCTCCTGTTTAACAGGGAATTCGTATTGAATTTTTAGTGGGTCCTTTAAGCTGTTAATTATTATCAAATTCAGGGCAATTGTGAGGTGGTGTGTGCAGTATAAGAAACCACTATTCTGAACTGACAATTGTAGCCAGTCTATGATCGCTAAGTATGCGTTTTCAAGATTAAGTTACTTTTCTGAAGTACTTTTATTTGAACTTTTTTGAATAATAAAACAATTATTTTAAGTTTTTGTTTTGAATAAACAAAAAAGGAAAACATCTCTGACCTTGTCAAGCTCCCTGACTCCCTTCAAACTCACCAAACCAATGCTCGACTCTGGTGTTTGGTTCATTTCTCAGTTTTCCTTTCTGCTTCACATTTGGTCTCTGATATCCAATCCCTGTCCCAGTATGAAGCAGGAAGGAGAAATGAGGAATCAACCAAATACCCAGTTGCCCATTTCTTCACCTTCACCACATTGACCCCCATCTCACATTTTTGTTGTCGCTTAGCTATGGAGTGTATTCGAAAAGTCTAGATCATCAACCATTAGCTTCAGCCAAAAGTAGAGTCCTGTAGCTCAGTGGTTAGAGCACTCGCTTTGCAAGCGAGAGACCTGAGTTCAATTCCAGGCAGGTCAGGGCGAAACCTTGGGCAAGTTTCCTTACTCCACACACCTAATAATAATCCTTCCAAAACCAAAAACAATAATAAATTGGTCATTTTCAATCTACGACTGTTTGTGGGACATTGCTGTGCGCAATTGGCTGCCGCGTTCGCCCACAAATATACAGTCAATTCACTTTACAGTGTGTGTTCTGTGAAGCGCTTTGGGACGTCCTCCCGACGTGAAAAGCGCTATATCAAATGCAAGGATTATTATTAAAAGTACATTGTCCATATCTTCATCTACACCAAATTCTGCATGCCCTTCAATCCAGTCCTTGTCAGGGTCCACTGTCTTCTTAAGGATTCTATAAATACAAAATCCTGTTTACCCAAAACTCTACCACCTGCATACTAACCCGCTTTAACTCCGTAGTCCCCATCACACCAGTTCTAGCCGGGCTCCACTGGCTCCCGATCACCGAATGGATAAATTTCAATATCCTCACACTCATCTTCAAATCCCTTCATGCACGGGCACCAATCTATCTCTCCGATCTAATTACTCCCCAACCTAGTACCCATTGTCTACGCTCAACTGACTCTGGCCTCCTTCCCCTTGTGCCCTCCGTTCCAACATCTGGCCGAACTTTCAGCCACCACGTCCCAAAACTCTGGAACAATCTCTCCACCTTGCACCATCCTTCCCCACCACCATCCTTGCGCTTGAAGACTTTCCTCTTCGACCATGCCTGCGGATACCTGCCCCCACCCTCCGGCTCCATGTCGTGCTCCGCCACTGTCAAGCACTTGTTGAGGCCAACTCAGGCTTGTTGTAGATCCTTTGGACCTTCAGCTTCCATGCACCTAAACTCCCTCCCTCATCTCCATTTCTTTTTTTTCTTTTGGTCAGCCGGGTGTCGGACACATGCAGAAACCCATCACCCTGCTTAAGAGTATCCAAACTAAACTGAGAATTCCACGCATCCCAACTCATGTGGAGATTCCAGAGACTTGTGGAGTCGTGTAGTTCAGTGGTTAGAGCACTCGCGTCGCAAGCAAGAGTCCTGGGTTTGATTCCCGGCAGGGCAAAATGTTGTGCAAGTTTTGTTACTCCACACGCCTCTGTTTACCTAGCAGTAAGGAGGAACCTGGTTGTTAGTCAATTGGTGGATCGATTTTCCGGGGATAATAATTCCTTCAAAAAAAAATTGGTCACTTCAATCCACGACTGTTCGTGGGACACTGCTGTGCGCAATTGGTTGTCGTGTTTCGCCCACAAAATGTACAGTCAATTCACTTTACAGTATATTCTGTGAAGCGCTTTGAGATGTCTTATATAAGACCCTATATCAAAGCAAAGATTATTATAGATTGTTGGAATGGAATGCGCTCCCTGGAGGTATTCATCCTGCTTATCTAATTCCAGAAAGTATTAGGGGTAGGATGGCAAGAATCAAGGCTTGGGGATCCCCGAGTGTGCTTTGGGGTACTCCTTGAGCCTGGCCACCTGAAGCCCCACAGGTTGCCATTGATAGCGCTGTCTGGCAAGCTTTCCCGCTGCTTGTCCAGCTAGGACCACCCTAACTGTTAGGGCTTTGGCTTGCATGGTATGTAGGAGCTGAGTGTGAAGAATCCCTGTGCCCAGTGACTGGTCTGCCCTTCCAGATCCTCAGGCTGTGCTGTCATCAGCAGTGCCCTGGAATACCGCAAACCAATCCTGGCTCAGGAATTGGATTACTGAGACCGCCAAAGAGAGATAGTCTCCATCTCACCCCCTCTTTTGTCAGTCTTTAAATCTGGCCTAAATATTTAACTCTTCAACCACACTTAAGGTCACCTCCCCTTCCTCCCTCGCTTGGGGTCCAACACCCACCTTGTGAAGCACTGCAAGATGTTATGCTACATGAAGATTGCAGTATAAATACAAGTTGTTGTTGAATAATTAAATTCTGGTTCACATTAAAGCAAGCTTTGTTTGGTGTAATGAAGCTAACAAGAATTTTAACTCTATGCTCATAACTACACTAACGTAATATTTAATCCCAAAAAAGATGTAGCACCTCATGGATTTGGAATACAATACAAAATTACATTTGTATAGCGCCTTTCACGTCGGGAGGAATTTTATTGAGAAGTGTAGAGAATGTGTATTTGTAGGTGAGCACATTTAATGGTTTTTATTTAGTCAATATTTAAAACCATTTCAGCTGATTTTAGCCGGAAAAATGAATAAGAGGACTTTAAAAGAAAAGCAGGGGTTTATCATGTATTCTTTCCTGATGCAGCACAACAAAAATGAAGTCAGTTTCTCTGAGTCCATTGAGACAGAGGACGAGATCCGTCTCCAGCCTGACCCTGAGATTATCATCGTGGGCTCAGGAGTGCTTGGATCTGCGATGGCTGCAGTCCTCGGGAGGGATGGAAGGAAGGTGACTGTGATCGAGAGAGACTTGAAGGAACCAGATAGGATTGTTGGAGAGCTTTTGCAGCCGGGTGGAGTCCGTGCACTGAGAGCACTTGGTCTTGAAGGTACAGACAATTGCTGATCAATAACATTAACATGGAATTCGCAGAACGAACAAAGTTAAATAACAACAAATTGCATTTATATGAATGAATCTTTCCCTGAAGGAGACTAATGGCCTGAACACTGATTCTTGTTTACATGTTTAAAATTGCAGACTTCTAGATATTCTGCTGTCTCAGTGGGTAAATGCGCTGCCTGGTATGATACACAACCTTCCTCAAAACCACACAACCTTTCCATTCTCTGGTTGTGTGGTACGATAGTGTATTCATTCCAAGAACACAAGATCGTTGGATGAAAAAGGTCATTAGGACCCACTCTTACAATCTTTAATCAGAGCATCAAGTTGTTTTTAAACAAGTTGACTATCCTGGCCTCTACCATCCTTCCGGGAAAGCTGTTCCAGTTGTTAATTACCTTCTGGGTAAAGAATATTGCCCTCTTGTGCTGATTCTTACCCACGGGTAGTGAGTACTTTACATCAGCCGTGCCAGCAGAGAGCTCAGGAGAGGCACATCCCCAGATGGATGATTAGCACAAAATCACACAATAATCTTATTTATTTTAGGAAAACCAAAACAGGAGGAGGCCATTCAGCCCATCAAGCCTGTTTACCCATTTTTTGTTATTCTCTGCAGTTCTGTGAAAGAAGTCCATTAAATTTTTGATTCATGATCTACCCTCACAAAGCCATGTTGATCACTGCTGATCTCTGCATATTTATTTAGAAGTTCCCCATTCTTTCCCTGACAATAGATTCCAGTAATGTGCCTACCACTGATGTTGAACTCAGAGCCTATAGCTGCTTGTTTTGTCCCTTCCTGTCTTGTTTAATGGAGTTACATTTGCTGTCCTCCAATTCTCTCGTACAATTCCCAAATCTGTTGTATTTTAGGAAATAATTAAAGTCTTGTGCACCTCCCTGATGGACTGATCAGTGTTGGGAAGTTGGCTAGCGTCTTGATCGAGCATTTTTAACTTGAACAAACTCAAGATTGTTTTGGGGGAAAAACAATTTCAATCTCTAAATCCAATTTTTTTAAGTTTATATATTCTAAATATTTAATGACACAATTATAGCATTCGGGACAATAAATTCAGTGAATAATTGTAATAATTTTCTCTCTCCTAACTAATAAGATGCTTCAGATCTTTTTCTGAACTTTATCCTACAAATAAAATCTTTTAACTTGCATTTTAAAAATAAACCCAGATTTTGGTTGGACTTTTAAATAATAATAAATAATCCTTATATTTGTTATAGCGAGATATACTTTAAAGTGTAGTGACTCTGCAAATATGGCAGCCAATTTGCACACAGCAATGTCCGATAAACAACCATGAATTAAATGACCAATTTTTATTTGCAGGATTGTAGGCCGGGATCCAGGGAGAAACTCCCTTCTCTTTTAAATAGTGCTATGGAATCTTTAGCATTTCCCTGAATATTGAGACGGCCTCGGTTTAACGTCTCATTCCGAAGGAAGAACTTTGCAACAAATAGAGGAAAAAAATATGCTGCAACATGTGCTTTGCCTCTTACTCTTAAACTAATAAACAAAAAAAGGATTTCCTTGATCTGAGTTGAGTTAGCTGATAATAATCCTTGCATTTTTTGATAAAGACACTTATCACGCCTTCGAGATATCTCAAAGCACTTCACAGAATATACTGTAAAGTGAATTTACTGTATATTTTCTGTGCGAAACGTCACATCATACCAGCTAGGGTGCTACATACTAGTTGAATTTTCCTTAGATCAGGGAGAGGATAATCAGCCAGGCTTCTGAACATTAGCCAGCTGGAAGGTATGTTAGTTATGTAAAGGATTAGGCTCGGCTGTAGTGTCCTCACTATTGAACAACCTGCTGACGCTCACCACTAAGACTTACATGTGATTAATGCCGATCAGATGAGGTATTGGAAGTTCCATGTCCTGTTGAAAGTAATAAGTAAACACTTTCAGAGGAGAAGGGGAGGACAGAAAAATCGCAAGTGGTGGGGAGGGGGGAAGCTATTAAAAAGTTATAAGTGCGCTTTGAAAACACACACAGGCGCAACTGCACATTTTGCACAGGAATATATTTTTCTTTTTTCTCCAGAGGCTGCTGCAGGCCTTGATGCCCACACGGTAAATGGTTACATTATACATGACATGGCGAGTAAGACCGAGGTGGAGATCCCTTACCCTCTGGATGAAAACAGTCAAGTGCAATGTGGAACAGCATTTCACCATGGGCGCTTCATCATGGGACTCAGGAGAACAGCTATGGCAGAACCCAAGTAAGACGATCGCTCGTTCATTATTTATTTGTTATAACATTCAGAACCACATGGCTCTAGAATTACTGCAGTTGTTTTCTGCCTAACTATTCTATCAATGCTGCATCTAATTAGCTGGAAAAGAAAGAAACCCAAATGTTGCAATGGGTAAAGATTGAATGTGTCACAGAAACATTTATATTTCTCCCCGCTTCATCTGCCACCCCTTCTCCTCCTGAGAAATTCTAGCAGTTGCATCAATGCTACGCTTTTCTCTACAGGTTTAGCCACCCCTTTGTCTCGTGAAAGCCTTTACTCCTCATACTGGGCCCAGTTCCACGGATCACTCTTCGCCCATCTGACCATTCTTCATTTCAGCCACTGGAGAAGCTCAACATCAGTGGTTAAACACAATACTCTGTATTCTGAAGCTAATCAATAGCAGCTACTTTACCTTGTGTAGCAGTACTTTATGTGGTGAAAAGTCTAAAAGCACTTTGACAAATTCAAGGAAAAAGACATAAACCAACTTTCGAACATCTGTTTTACAGTGTAACATTCATCGAAGGGATTGTGACACATTTGCTGGAAGAAGATAGTCAAGTTACAGGAGTTCAGTATAGAGAGAAAGAAAATGGAGATGTGAAGGTTTGTAAATTATTTATCTGAAATGACAATCACCAGAGAGGCATGTATCTGGTATCCTGGGTTCCCGACACTGTGCAATGACAGGTAGAGCTACTGATCATAAAGACAAATCATTTCAGTTTATTCTCAGCTCTAATAATCATTGACAAGTTTGTATTCTTCCAAGTGATTTCCCACCACCACAGATATAATAATAATTCTTGCATTTGGTTTAGTGCCTTTCACGTTGGGAGGATTCTTCACAGGATTTGCTTAAAGTGGAGTGACTGCATTTGTAGGTGAATGCGGTTGCCAATTTGCACACAGCAATGTCCCACAAACAGCCATGAAGTGAATATCAAAATTTTATTTGGGGAATTGTTGGCCAGGACACTGAGAAAAACTTCCTTGTCATTTTGAATAGTGCTGTGGGTTCTTTTAACATCCACCTGAATAAGCAGACACGATCTTGGTTTCACATCTCATCCGAAAGACGGCACCTCCCACCAAAGCAACCGACCCCGAGCACTTTTTAGTATGGGGTCACAAAAGGTAGTTTTAGAATCCTCACCATCAACTGAGCTCAGAAAACTCAGCAGACCAGGATCAAAGTGGAGATGTTCCTGATCTACATAGTTTATTGGAGTGTCAGTTTAGACTGAGTTCAAGGCCTAACATGAAGCTTGAACCCACAACCTCCTGACTCAGAATCAAGAGTGCTACTACTGTGTCAGACTGACACACAAACAATGATACTTTGGCGTACTATTTTCATTTTAATTATATTTTCAGTTTGTTTAGATTAAATAATTATGGGGGTTTGCACCTGGGTCTATATTTACATTATTTATAAGTTGCAGAACTTACAGAAAACAGTGTTCAAAATTAAGATTGTATTCAGGTGTTTGGCAAATTTTGGATGCTCTGAAATGCTAAGAAAATAGAATAAATCTAGACACAGATGAAATTTCTCCCCTTATGTTTTGCAATTGCATATATCTGAAATAGAATACAGATAAAAACATTAGGATAAACTCCATTGATAGGTCACTGTGTAAATACACCTGGTATTGTATAATTATATTTATTAATAGATCCTCCCCCCAAAAAAAATAGTCACTCAATCCATGACTGTTTGTGGGACACTGCTGTGTGCAATTGGCTGCCGCATTTCGCCTACAAAATACATAGTCACTATACTTTTTCACAATATTTTGTGAAACACTTTGAGACGTCTCAATGAAGTGAAAAGGCGCTATATCAAATGCAAGAATTCTTCTTATTATTAATGTTATAATTGTGATCCTAAACTATGTAGATCAGAAACATCTCCGCTTTGATCCCTGGTCTGCTGAGTCTTCTGAGCTCAGTTGATGGTGAGGATTCTAAAACTGTCTTTTGTGACCCCATACTAAAAAGGAGGGAAACAACAAATCGGTATTCCCTTACTTCTGATCATTATCCAGTGAAGTCTGCTGGAAAGCTTGCAGATGTTAACTGAGGCCAAGATTTCTCCTGCATGTGACGTCTCCTGCAGGTACATAGCCTGTCCTGTGGAAACTCACTGTCTAGGCTCACACAGGAAGAATGTCCACGTCAGTGAATACCAGTGGGCAGCTGATCCCTTTGGAACATGTATAACTGTGGGTTAGAGGTTGAATAGCTTCAGACGCTATGGATTCCCGGCAGGGCGAAACTTGGGCAAGTCTCCTTATACTAGACGCCTCTATTTACCTAATAGTAAGTAGAGACCTGGTTGTTAGACGGTTGTCAGATCGCTTTTCTGGGGTAATATTTCCTTCAAAATATATAAAAACAATTTGGTCACTCAATCCACAATCGTATGTGGGACACTGCTGTACACAATTCGCTGCCACATTTCGCCCACAAAATATAGTCAATTCACTTTACAGTGTATTCAGAGAAGCACTTTGAGACATCTCAAAGACGCGATAAGGCACTATATCAAATGCAAGGATTATTATTATTATTACTTAAAGACAATTGATGTTAAATCGCAGGAACTCCGTGCCCCACTGACTGTGGTAGCTGACGGCCACTTCTCCAAGTTCAGGAAAAACTTGGTGAAAGGCAAAGTGAGCATTTCATCCCATTTTGTTGGCTGCATTATGAAGGTAAGACAATTCAAATGGTATTTATTATGGACCAGTTTCAGTTTACATATCACCTACTGCTTGGCTTCATTTCCCTATAGCAAAGTAAAGTGTTTATATCTCTTGTCTTATTTTCTCTCTATGCCAGTAGCGCAAGCTCCACTGGCTCCCTGGCTCCCAACAAATCAAATTTAAAATGATAGTTCTTACTTTAAAAGGCTTCCATGATTTTCCCTCAGCTGTCACTACCTTTGTTCCACCAGCTCTGGCCTTCTTAGTGCCCCCACCTCCTCCACCCCAGAATAACGTTATGCAAGTATTTTAACCCACAATTTGTAACTCTTCTGAAATCCCTTCATCTCGCCTCCCCTCCCTCTGTGCTTTCCATCCCGTATAAAACCTGTGACAAAGAAACATTCTCCAGCACTGCCCTAGATTGTCAGCTTGGACCATGAGCTCAAAGTCTCGATGTGGAGCTTGAACCCACAATTTTGTTACTTGGAGGCAAGAATGCTACTAACTGATCCAGGCTGACAATATTTTAAAATGACTAATTTATAGCTATGTAATATTACCATAACTTATCCAATATTTGTCCCAGTACATGTTTTGTCCAATATGTGATCTATTTTACAACAATGCCAAAGTTGTGACCTAGAGGGAAATTGTATTCTCCCAATTTTTTATTTCAGTGCAGGATTTAATTGTGAGAAGAAATATTTTCAGGTCAGTTAATTGAACAGAGCAGCTTCAAAGTGTAACAAGTTGTGGAAATGATAAATCGGAATCAATGCTGTGCTGGACTTGCTCTTTAATTTATTTGTACCTTTCAGGATTCTCCACAATTCAAACCAAACCACGCTGAACTTGTTCTGGCCAACCCCAGCCCTATTCTTATCTACCAAATATCAACCAATGAAACTCGAGTGCTCATCGATATCAGAGGAGAAATTCCAAGGAACCTTAAAGACTACATGATTGAGAAAATCTATCCACAGCTTCCAGGTAAGTGCGGTGCATTTATGTGAATCCCTCCATTATCTCTCTGGTTTCAAAGGTCTATATGTTGCCTGTGCCTGAGAGAGGAGATAAGTTGCAGCCCCCTCACCCCGGGTGTCTGCCAATGCTATTCCAAACTAACTATAAGGAGGCATGAAAAAGTGGCTCTCTTCTTAAGAGGTTTCAGCCTAAGATCAAGTCATTGTGCCGTGTATGCATGTGTGTCCAGACAGATAGCTTCTACTCCCAACAGGCAAAATACTGCAGATGCTGGAAATCTGAAATAAATACACAAGGCCCTGGGAACACGCAGCAGGTCAGGCAGCATCTATAGAGAGAGGAAAATGAGTTAATGTTTAGGGTCAATAACCTTTTGTGCTACCTGACCTGCTGTGTGTTCCCAGCAACTTCAGTTTCTACTCCAAATGGCAATCCACCAGCAGGAGTTGGTGAGTTGGTGGATAGCAATTTGGAGCAGCAACTATTCCTCTTTTTCTATCTCCTCTCGTTTCCCCCCCCCCCCCAGCCCGGGTGCAGTAGATTAATCTTACTACCCCCAACTTGTACCCTGGAGTGAGCTCTATTAACTCACGATGAACCAGAGGTTGAACCTGAACCCGTTCTACTTTGTATGATGGAAACATTGGACACACAGTATCAAGAAAAGCAAATGCCCCCTCACAAGAGGACAGTAGATGGCAATGTTTTTGGAACGCTGAAATTATCTGGTGATGCTTGCTCTCTTCTGCAGTTTCAACCAAAAACCTCTGGCACATAATGATCGTACGTTGGTGATGGTGTTGACTACCCTATTTTAAAAAAACTTATATTGGTGCATAGTATAAGCCTGCAATATTATCTTATGATAGTAAACCAAGTTAGATGATGGTCGAACAAGAACTGTCCAGGACTTGGTATTTATCTTTAGTAGGTGGTAATTACAGAGTGAGATTGGTGTGTAGTTAAAACTTCTGGGGTTACTTTTGTTGCTGGAAAACATGCATTGTTGTGATACCTTCAAGAATAAATGCTGACTTTTCTTCAACAGAGCACATACAAGAGCCATTCCTACTTGCAATTCAGAATGATCGGTTGCGGACCATGCCTGCGAGCTTCCTGCCTCCTTCCCCCATGTATAAATCAGGTAAAACTTGGCAATGAATTGGCAAAATGTGCCAGTAACATCTTCCCAATCTTAAACTATACAATATCAAGAATATATTTTGATCACCTATAAAATACACTCCTGCGATCTTTTGAGACTTCTTCCTCGAGTGAAAGGCACCATATCAAATGTAAGTATTATTGTTAGACCACTGATGACTGTAAATAGCAATAAATCATTAAGGTTTTATAATAGAAAATTCCATTGTAAAGTTACAGCAAAATAATCCACATGAATTTTAAAGTAGTTGATGAAAAAACAGTGCAACTTTTCCTTGTCACAAATAAATGTTTTTGTTAACATCTCTTCTGTGCAGTGCAGTCTGCATTCCTCCTTAATGATCTTTAACATGTCCTGAATGAGGCAATGTGGCTGGGCATGCCAATGGAACATGCCTGGAACAAAATTTCTGATGGGCAATGGGTGAAGGGGAGAATGGCTGCCAATACCTCATATAGTGAAATAAATACCAATACTTTATGGTACTTAGTGGACTGTTTCCAGTCATACACCTCGTACTCTCCAGAATTGGATAAACAGGGTGTGTCTTTCAGGGGAGAGAGTGCACTTCCATTTCAGAGACAGGGAAATTACCGTGTGTAGGTGGCATATATGGAACTCTCAATCAGGTTTGGATACTCCTAAGCATGGTGATGGGTTGCACTTTTGACACTTGGCTGACCAAAAAAAAAGTATTCATCAAAAGGTTAGCATTGGGTGTTGTGCTAGAACTCTGTTTGTTAATGGGTTTAGTGAATGTTAAGCTGTGATTTAATATTTTTTAAAAGAAACATTTCTCTGTGTTTTATCCAGGTGTGCTGCTCTTGGGTGATGCTTACAACATGCGCCATCCTCTGACAGGAGGGGGTATGAGCGTTGTACTAAATGACGTGAAGATATGGCGAGATCTCCTGTGCAATATTCCAGATCTCTACGATGATGCCGCAATGCTTCAGGTGAGGGGTATGCCCTGCAGCACAGGATTTTATAAGTGAGCTGGATTTTCTGTCTGACCATTCTTGGTAACTTGACTTTATTGGCACAAATTGTAGTGAGGTAGGAGTTAGACTGAAATGTCTAGTAAGCAATTTATTTTCCTTGAGATTAATGAAAACGTTCATAGGTTCGGACATATGAAAGACAAGTTTAGGGAAGATACCAGGAAGTATTTCCTTACACAGAGATAAGTAACAACTTCAGAGGCTTGTATGTTGTCTGTTTACTTACATTGGTAATCTATTATTAGCAACATAACAGTATAGCAATCCCAGTAATCTTGTCATAGGCGGAAATACCAGCCTTCATTTTTCCAGAATACTCAATGACCCAACTGTCCCCCGAATACAGCATTGAGCTGCTTGTTAACTAATTCCAGAGTCCTGAGAACTGACCCCCTTCCAGTTATTACTTATCCCCTGGGTAAAATATATTTCCTGATGTCTGTCCAGAAATTCCTCTTTGCAACTCAGGATTTGTGTCCTCTTATTCTACTGATATGTTGTGCCTAAAAGTATTGTTATGGGTCAACTTCCTCATTCTCATTTAGGAACGTTTATACCTCTATGAAGTCCCCTCCATAAGATGTCTGTCTTATACTAGAGAGGTTCGGATGAAGAAAGTCCTTTGACCCATTTTCTCTCATTCTTCCAGAATACCTAATGTATTCAGTTTTGTGGTTGTTTCTGGAGATATAAAATTCAAAATGATATTGGAACCGTTCCGGTCACGGTCTTTAAAGAAGAAATTCTGATGTGTGTAAACTGGATACTGGCAGCAAGAATCCATTCAGTGAGGAAGGTGACAAGGCATGATGTATATTGTCTGTGACCACAGCTGGTAAACTGAAATAGCTCCTTTGGGATAAAAAGGCACAATTCAGACATCAAATCCAATTTGCACATGAACTGTGCACACATATGAAGAGTCACTTGTATCTTGGAAATAAATTTGACCTAACCTCTTGTGGCTTTTGCAGGCAAAGAAGACATTCCACTGGGCAAGGAAGAGGTCTCATTCCTTTGTGGTCAATGTTCTGGCTCAAGCTCTCTATGAACTATTTGCTGCTACAGATGGTAAGCTCAGACTCCTGGAAACAATAGAGGCTTAAATGTATATACACTTCCCATTACACAGTGTAGGGTTTTAATTGCACTTAGTGACCATGCTAAACTCCTATTACTTAGTAACAGAAACTGGAATAACACAAGAATCCCATGCTTGAGCATTGATCACAAGAGAGGTTCAGATGAAGAAAGACAATTTGTTGTTATTCTGCTGTAAATTTTATCCTGTGAGTGTCTGACTCCTACAAGCCAAGAAGGCATCAGGTTTGATCCTTCTTCTGTGATCATCTAAGCCAGGGTAGCAGTCGGGGCATTGGAACTTCAGGTTAGGGAGAGGAAAACCCGACGGGGTTCCTTTTCCTGATTGCTATCCAGAGGGTCCTGCTAGATGGTGTATGTATCTTGATGTTGAGTAAGGACAGGAACGAGGCTTGGTTGTAATACTACCATGGTAAAATATTCCTAGACTACTGACATTTGCGGTCAAGGCTAACACATGAACAGGGACCATTTGGTGAGGTATCGTAGGGTAATCAGTGCAGGAAAATTGACCAGGGGAAAAAATAGCCTTTATTCATAAATTAAATTGTTAAGAGCAAGATTTTACCAATTATCATTTAATGCTTCCAGTATAATATTTATATTCTTCTATGTACTCTTGGATACATGGATGGGAGCTGCAGCTAAGCTGCAGGTGAGATAGGGGCACAGATGTGTGACGATCCGGAGATGTAGGAAAGCAGTCTTCATCAAGGATCAGATAAATGGTTTTAAGCAGAGCTGAGGGTCAACCAAATACCAGGATTGTACACTGGCTTGGTGAGTTGGAGTGAGCAACCAAGGAGATTGATGGAATTGGCATCAGAGACAAAAAGGATGGCATCCTAAAAACAAGATGGCTTTAGTTTTGTTGACATTCAGCTAAAGGAAGTTTAACAATAACAACAATAATCCTGGAATTTAGGGTAGAAGTGAAGAGGGAGGATGGGTGTCATTTGCAGACATGTGGAATTGCAGCCAATACCTGCAATGATGTGACCAACAGTGAGTATATAAATAAGAATTTGAGTAGAAATCTGGTGAATACCGCAGCAGACCATTGCAGGGGCAAGAGGTTAAGTCAGTAGGTGACATTTGATGAAAAGTAGACATAATTTCTGGTTATTACAACAACTTGCATTTATATAGTGCCCTTCATACAAGGCAGTGTTTCCCAGCGCTGGGCAGCCGTGTAGTTTTTGACACCAATCCGGGAGAAAGGGGAGGTGATCTTAGGCACAATCAACCAAGACTTTAAGTGTGATTTGAAGAAGGCTAAAGAAAGGCACAAGGCTGAGGGATTGAGACAGAGTAATCCAGAGGTTTTGGGCACAGTGGTTTAATAAGTTTGCTAGATGGACCCAGTGGGATACTCCTGCCTGAAATTGTTACTGTGTAAGTGATTCATTTTATTTCATTTATTTCCAGATTCCTTGCATCAGCTCCGGAAAGCCTGTTTTCATTACTTTAAGTTGGGTGGACAGTGTGTGTCAGGGCCAGTGGGGCTGTTATCAGTGTGAGTACCAACAATGAAAATTAGCAGTAATTTAATATAAACTTTGAAGACGACATCTCTTAATCACAAAGAAGGGGAAAGGTTGCTGCCCTTACAGTTCAGTTTTGTGTGCACCTAAGTAAAGCTGTTAGTCTTATTCATGGTATGTTCCTAATCTGTTTTAAGGAAGCCTGCCAATAGAAGGTGCAGGAATGTGTTATAGAAATATTCTCATCCATCTTCCCGATCCAACCCCTCTCCTTCCTTGTGGACAGGTGCACAACCTTTTGTTCAAAGACGTAGCTAAAAGATGCTTTTTTCAGGGATCAACCCAGGGTAGACCCCAAGTCCCTAGGCACACACGTGAAGCGAGTTAACCAGAGATTGGCTGCTCCTCATAGAAATTTGTCTCAGTGTGTAAGAAAGGAAGGAAGAGGGATCCGGTATTATTATGGACGTTGTTGATAAATGTACATTTTCTTCAGCACTGATTGGTTATTTTCTTTCCATTAGGCTTTCTCCGGATCCTATGACTTTGATCGGGCATTTTTTTGCTGTGGCACTTTATGCCATTTACTTCTCCTTCAAGTCTGAGCCCTGGTATATGAAACCACGTGCTTTCCTGAATGGTGGTGCCATTGTCTATCGTGCCTGCACTGTTATTTTTCCTCTCATTTATTCTGAAATGAAATACCTTATTTACTGAATAACCTACAAAATAAGGGCAAGATTACACAAGAACAAAGAAATACAAACAAAACACAGAAAGCCTTTGCAGTTGTCAAACACTTACCTCAACTCTGTGTTGAACAAGTCCACACTATTGTTTAATTGATGAGAAAAAATCTAGGTTCCCCTCCTGCATCCAGCCGAGTAACAGATTAGCGCTTTGGCAAAACATGAAACTTTGTATTGCTGTCACCAAATTATTTAAATGGATTGCCATTTTATAAGAAATTCCCCTTGGGTAACTCACAATATGGTGTGGTTTGAGTATCCAATCCTGGAATGCACAAGATTTGTGCCTGCTCTGTGCTGAGTTAGACAATCTTAGTTGATACACCAGTTGGGTACTACAATCATCCTCAATCTCCCCCTGAATATGGAGGAGGGAAAAAATCAGTCAAGATTCCCACTCTTAATCATTCTCCCTAAGGGTAGGACTGGTCTCGATTGTGATAACATCCCACCTGTAATGGACAAAAAGGATACCAACAATCCATTGTGTGTGTAGGGTCACACATGAAGAATGATTGATTGGGCAATAGCGTGGGTCAGGAGAGGGGAAAATTGCGAGGGGGTAGGAGGGAAGAAGATAAATAAATAACAAGTGCTGATTGTGGCTTTCGACTAAATTAGACATCTGCTCATGAAATTGGAGAAGAACTACTTGGATATAGATTTACTTTATGTAGCATTTCAGAGCGTACAACATTTTTCAAATTGTTGAATTCAGTCTTAACTTCGCATTTGGTTTTCTGTAGTTCTTAAACAAACTTGCAGAATGATTACTTGGCCAATGATTCAGCAAGTTCTTTTTGCTTGGGCAATCATTCTGCAAGTTCTTTTAAGAACTACACATAAGCTTTCACATTAAGGCTGTATTTAAGACTTCTCTAAAATGCTACAGAAATAGAGGAAAATCTCGACCAAGCTGAAATTTGCAACCAGAGGTGCTTCCAATTTTTATTTGCGCTGTTCCAACCCAAACATTCACAGAAAGTACATATGGTACTTTGAAACTTGAATAGTTTTCCAATCGAAGGCAGTGGCTTTGTGAGCAGGCAATTATTATTTATAATCGATCTAATTTATAATCTATAGATTTAACTAAAATCCAAATTTACCTAACACTTTTGACAGTAACACATTCCAGGGATAAATGCCTTATTGAATCAACTTGTGGGACCCAATTTATTTCTCAGCAGTACTACTGTAGTCCATACTGTAGTCCATCAATTTAGTTAAAAAGAGGAACCAGAGAAGTGACTCTGGTGGTATATCAATGTGGGACCCCTCCCCCATTTCCCCCGTAACCCAGGACTCAAAGTGGGTTAGTTTACTCAGCTTTCAGCCAACCCACCAGGCAGAATTCTTTGTAGTCGCAGAGTGCCTGCTCCTCAAAGGGGAGAGAATCGCAGGCAGAGAGTATTGTGTGTCAATGACTCTTAGCCCACCTCAGAGCAGCATTGAAGGCCCTATAGAGGACTCACTGGCTGACGGTATCATTCTCTATGCCTACAAAATACCCAAATCCTGTGAGATATTCTTCTGATGTGAAAAGCGCTGTATCAAATGGAAGGATTATAATAAAGAACAAAACATGATGGCCAGAGACACTTACTGATCACTGACGCTAATGAATGTTTAATTCTGCTGCTTATAATCTGTTTTCTATTATAGTAGTTAACGGCACAAAATTTGGTCATTTTCCTTTGTAATATGGTTACCCTATACTTTTATTCTGAATGGCTATTGGATGCAGTACTGATGTGCAACCACTAGATGTCACTTGTGTTATTATTAACAAAGCATTACAGCAACATCTAGAGATAGCAAACAGGTCCTGTATTTCCTCGCAGTACCAATACTTGTAGATTTTGTCTCATTCCTTATATAAAAACAAAATTTGTGCCAAACTCAATGGAAGCAGGGCAATCACATCCTCTTTTTGTTTTGGTCAGCCGGGTGTCATGCAGCCCACCTCCACATGGAAATCCCATAGACAGATTGTTGGAATGAAATGTGCACTCTCTCCTTGGAGGGACACATCCTGCTTACCTAATTCCGAAAAGTACTAGGCGCAGGTTAGCAAGAGCCAAGGCTTGGGACCCGAGAGTGCATTGAGATACTTAACTGCTGGATTCTAACTAGTTAAAACCAAATTGCTTGCCATTGATAGTAGTGTCTGGCAAGCTTTCCCACACTCTGTCTCATAAGTTTACATCTGAAATTTGTGTGCCGTATTAAAATTGTATATAATGTATAATTGTAAAATGAGTGAAGAATTTCCACTGGCTATATTTGTTCATTGCCTTTCGTTAATCTGCCATTCATTCTATGAATGTTCTATATTGGTATGTAACACATTTTATTAAAAGGTTTATCATTTGGCCAAAACTGGTAAAGATTTTATGTTTCGCCCACAAAATATACAGTTAATTCACTTTACAGTATATTCTGTGAAGCGCTTTGAGACATCTCAAAAACGTGATAAGGTGCTCATGGAGTCCTGTAGCTCAGTGGTTAGAGCACTCGCCTTGCAAGCGAGATACTTGGGTTCAATTCCAGGCAGGGCGAAACCTTGGGCAAGTTTCCTTACTCCACACGCCTAATAATAATCCCTCCAAAACAATAATAAGTTGGTCATTTTCAAGCCACGACTGTTTCTGGGACACTGGTGTGCGCAATTGGCTGCCGTATTTTGCCCACAAATATATGGTCAATTCACTTTACAGTATTCTGTGAAGCGCTTTGAGATGTCGAGAAGACGTGAAAAGTGCTATATCAAATGCAAGGATTATTATTTAATGTACTATATTTAACACTTATTAGATTCTAATTATACCAAATATAAGCACCATTGTTTATTATTATTACTCATCCCTGCGAAACATGTCAAAGTGCTTTATAAAAATTCTTAAGTGTTGTGCTTCAGTCAAATCCAGCCATTGTGTGTTTCACATGGTATAACACTAGATGGCACTATGGACTATAATAACAATCCCTCATCACTAATATCAGCCCGTAGAACAGCTCATAGATTTTAGTGTAAATCATGCAGCAGTGGTCAACCTTTTTGTTCGGCTTCTTCTTGATGCTACTTTGGGGTCATTAAGATGTGGCTTGTCAAATGCCTGCACCAATCCAGGTAAGTCCGCCCCAAATCAATATTTTGATTACAGTAGCTACTGAGCTGCGGGACCATAAATGAAGAAAAATATAATAAAGAAAGTTTTATTGGGTTGGCCGCCTGAAAAGATTGGCCATCACAGAAGAAGAATAGAGCATAATCGCAGGAGGGAATAATGGGTAAGAGTTAGAGTTGTACAAAGCATTGGCCTAACTTCACATGGAGTGGTGTGTTCAGTTCTGGATTGCAATAAGTACTCCCAGTATGGATTGTAATCCAGGTGCTCTTTCTGAATACAGGGATTTTAATGCCCCAAATCCCAGGATGGAAAATCTTTCCTCGGAAAATGCCAGGAAACTTGGCCAAGAGCACAGGTGCTGCACAGCAACCTCTCCCCAAAACAGTCACTTACCCACTCCCCTCCTCACCCCTGACAACAAGGGACTGACTGAGGCAGGGAGGGAGAGGGTTAGTGATGAGTAGATTTATTGATAAGAGAAAGTGGCATATACAGAAAGTGTGACAGAAAAAAAGGCAATGACACGTGCAGATGCTGAGAGAGAGAGAGACATATACACACACTTGCATTTATAGAGCACCCTCATGCAGGGTAGCGTCTCAGGAACTCTTGACAGTTGTGGAGCACATTGTGAGCCGGAGGGAGGGCAGAGGTGATTGTAAGTATTGTCGAAGAGGAAGGTTTTCAGCCACGACCTGAAGATGGGGAAGGAGGGGGCAAGGTGGGGATTTTGAGGGAGAGTGTTCCAGAGCTTAGGAGAGTAGTAGCTGAAAGTGCAGGATTCACAGAGAATGTTAATGAGGCATAAGGAAAGAATTAAAATAAAATGTTTACAGAAATACTGAAAAATATGGTGGCCTTGATCACCAAGAACATGACTTCTGATAAGGAGAATTGGAAAAAACACTTGGAATAAACTATGTCAGTTGGCATCCGTTATTGCATCTAGTGATAGTGGCTGCTACCATTATTGCATCTAGTGATAGTGGTTCAGTGCCCTTTGGATCACTATTGACTGTTAAACTGTAATAAAGGAAACAATCTTTTAACATCCAAATTGTATGCACACTGCTTCATTATTAAATAAAAATAGTTTCCTTACAGAGGGTCATTGGCCCTAAAGGGAGAGAGGAAGAAAGAATGTCAAAAACAGAGAAAGAGACAGTGACATACACAAGAGAGACCGATAGAAAGTGAAAAATGGAACAGCAACAGCAAAATAGATAAACATAACACAAATATCAAAAAAACTGAGGGGTTTGTGTTTGTGACACACAAAATCCTTTCTATCTGTGATGAGGGCTCCGTCTGCTTCCTCATCCTCCTGGACATCTCCGCCACGTTCGACACAGTCGATCACGCCATCCTCCTCCACCGCCTGTCCTCCATCATCCACCTCAGTGGGACTGCACTCACTTGGTTCGAGTCCTACCTTACAACCCACCAACACTACATTCCTGCAAATGGCTTATCTTTACGCTTCCACCCGGTCACCTGTGGGATACCCCAGCGATCCATCCTTAGTCCCCTTCTCTTCCTCATCTATATGCTCCCTCTCGGTGATGTCATCTGCAGACACAGGGTTCACTTCCACATGTATGTGGATGACACAACTCGACTTTTCCACCTCCAGCTGCAACCCCCAATCCCCTGATGTTCTGTCAGCTTGTCTGTCGGACATCAAGAGCTGGATGAGCGCAAACTTCCTGCAGTTAAACATGAACATACACTTTGGCTCCCATCAACATCTTCTGTCCCATAGTTCCAAACTCCTCAACCTACCCGACTTGTCTTTAAAACTCTCCGAGCCCGTGCGCAACTTAAGCGTCAGGATGTATATCCAGTTATCCTTCCTCCCCATATCCAGTCCCTGATCAACACCGCTTTCTTCCACCTTCGCCACATTGCCCGTTTCTGACAATACCTCATCCCAAAAGCTGCCAAAACCCTTGTCCATGCCTTCGTCACCTCTCGGCTGGACTACTCTAACACTCTCCTCGCCAGTCTCCACTATTCACAAAATTCAGCTAATTAAAACTCTGCCACCCGCATTCTCACCCGCACCAAACTCCACACCCGAATTACTCCAGTCCTTGCCAAACTCCACTGGTTTCCTGTCACAGAGCGGATCGACTTCAAGATCCTCACTCTAGTGTTTAAATCCCTCTATTCCTTGGCACCCTCCTATCTCTCTAACCTCCTCTCTCTCCACAGCAGTACCCGCTGCCTCCGCTCTACTGGGTCCGGCCTCCTCTGTGTCCCCCGAATCCTCCGCTCCACTATCAGCGGCCGTGCCTTCAGCCAGTATGCCAGGAAACTTTGGAACTCCCTCCCTCAACCCCTTCACCTCGCCCTCTCCTTCCCTATCTTCAGGTCACGCCTGAAGATCTTCCTCTTCGACCACACCTACGGTCACCTGCCTCCTCCCCTTGGCTCAGCCTCGGGCTCCACCATTGTTAAGGGTTCTGAGATGCAGCCGAGCGTGGAGGGCGCTACATAAATGCAAGTTGTCATTGTTGGGGGGTGGGTGCGGGGGGAGAGAGGGGGTGGAGGGGGTGTGAGCACAGTCAAATAGAGAGAGAGAGAAAGAAAGCAACGCAGCAATTGACGTAAAGGCTATGGGAGAGGGAGAGTGGGAAATCACAGGGTTCCAACAGAAAGAGCAAAAGAAAAGGAATGAGAATGAAGGGAGGGGAAATTTTGCGAAGGGCTAACTGTCTCACTTTGAAACTGTATTGCTTTTGGTTTCCAAAGGCCACTTCACAAGAAAAGGGAGGAAAAGATTGCAAAAGTTGGGAATTTTTACATTGGAGACGGTCATATCAAAACAAAAACAGAAGTCGCTGGGAACACTCAGCAGGTCAGGCAGCATCTATGGAGAAAGGAAAGTGAGTCAACGTCTCAGGTCCACAACACTTCGTCAGAACTGGAGCATGTTGGGAGGGAGAGGCTTTTAAGGGCTAACAGAAATGGGGGAGGCAGGGCAAGGAAGACAAAGGAGAAAATGGGGTAGAGGACAGGGTGGTAGGGTGGGGGAAGATTGCAACAAAATAGACAGACCATAGAGAGAAAAGGTGCGTCTGGGACCCAAATGATATGGTAATGGTCAATATTGATTTCAACAATTTCAGACCATAACAGCTCACCTTCCCCTTCTTCTGTGACCATTATCACATCGTCTGGGTCCCAGACACACCTATTTCTCTCTCCTCTGAGTATTCCAGTGACTTCTGTTTTTGTTTCAGATTTTCAGCACCTGCAGTATTTTGCATTTTGGTCATATCAAAACATTCTTGCAAGGTGAAGTAAAATGTGGAGAGGGAGTGCTATTTGGTAGGAGGGGATGTGAAGGATTACAACAACAACAACAACTTGGATTTTTATAGCGCCCTCCACGCTGGACGGCGTCTCAGAGCACTTTACAGTAACGGATCCCGGGACCGAGTCAGGGGGAGGGGGAGGAAGGTGACCAAAGGCGCGGTTGAAAGGAAAGGCCTTCAGCAGAGACCTGAAAATGGGAAGGAAGGGAACGAGACAAAGGGAGTGAGGAAGGCAGTTCCAAAGACTCGGGGCATAGTGACTGAAGGCACGGCCGCTGAGGGTGGAGCGGAGGACTCGGTGGCTGAGGAGGAGGCCAGACCCGGAGGAACGAAGGCAACAGATACTGTTTAATCAGAAATCCCTTTGATATGATACTGATGCATATATGTGTTGTAACTAAGTACTTTGAGATGTTTTCATGTTATACAACAACAACAAAATTGCACTTGTAAAGCGCCTTTCACGTCGGGAGGATGTCTCAAGGCGCTGGACAAAGTTATGTACCCGAGCTGGGGGTCGGGGTGGGGGGAGGGCAGGGGTGAAGCAGGGAGATCGGAAGCACGGTCGAAGAGGTGGGTCTTGAAGGTGGCGAGGGAGGGGGCAAGACGGAGGGACTGCAGGACTATTACTCTATTACTGAGACGTGGTTCCAGGGAGACCAAGGGTGGGAGCTAAACATTCCAGGGTATTCAACGTCATAGAATTATACAGCACCTAAAGAGGCCATTTGGCCCATCGCGTCTGCGGTGGCTCCTAAAAGAGTAATCCAACTCAATCCCACTGGCCCGCTTTCTTTCCATAGCCCTGCAATCCTGTCCTCCCCAAATACCCATCTACTTCTCTCTTACAAGTTGTTGAATTGGCTTCCACTACCCTTTCAGGAAATGCATTCCAGATCCGAACAACTCGTTGGGTGACA